ACAATTAATTAAGGTTTTTGGTTGAGGTAAAAAAGTCAATGGCACGAGCGGGATTCGAACCCACGATCTTCGGCTATCCACTCGGACACTAGTCACTAACTTCCCATCTCAACCCCACCTTTTGAATTTTCCCTCCTTATTGCCATTTTTCAATCAAGGATCGAGGTCACGATAGCTCAAGTGGTAGAACAGCGGCGTATCAAGCCGAAGATCGTGGGTTCGAATCCCGCTCGTGCCATTGACTTTTTTATCTCAACCAAAACCTTAATTAATTGTAATATATTAATTGGTCAAGCGGACCACGAAATTAGTGAATTTCAGTTCATAATAAATTTTTTTTAGTACCTTCATGGATTTGAGTCCAAAGAATGGATCTATAATTTTTATTTAATACAATATATTAATATTTAATGACATTATTCCATATTGACATTGCTAGTAAGCAGCTTCTATTGGGATACCAATGAATATTGGTGGCAGCATATTCATTGCTCTTACTGCACAATGTAGTTATTGGATATTGTACTTATTACTGTATTTATTGGTAATGGATTATTAACTACCTTCATAAAGGTTTATATCAAATGGTATAACATCAAAATCAATATATATTGATATCATTGACAAATTGACACTTTTCATTGGTACATTGGCAGGGGGTGCACTTCCATTCGTTACATGTCATCAAAATACAATTGTTCAATAGATTACGTTCTATACAGCTCATGCCAATGGATGGGGGATATATTAATTTTCATATTAATTTACTATCAAAGCTAAAACAACGTGATCACAGCCCATATAATCTTTTCTTTTTTAAAATTAAAAATAAAGTGTAATGTAAAGAAGTTTAATGCTTTTTCACATTTTAAATCACTTGTATAAACTCGGAATATGAAATTTGGTTCTTATTTATCGTGTTTTATCTGCCTATCCTTCCTAGAGTGATCTGACAGTTGCATTTCGCCATCTTTAAAAAAAAACCGAAACACATCTGACAGATCAACCCAGCAAGGATAGGCAAACCAAAATAAATGAGAACAACCAAATTTCAGCATCAACAAGGAGGAATCTCACATAGTTGCGATAACTAAAGTGGATTTCACCCCTTGTTCAAGACACCCAGCTGGTAGTTTTTTTAATTTACTTTAATTACCCTTGAGATAACTTATTTCTATTTACATACTGTAAATATCTCATGCTACATAGTCTATATACTCATTTAACTGTAGCAAGTAATTATATAGTTTATTTATTAAAACTTTTTAAAAAAATGAAGAAATTTATTATTCTTTTGATGTCTTTAAACTTGATGTTGAACTGCTATTGCAACTGCATTTATGTAATGTGATTATTGATTACACTGCACATATCCTAAAGGAACTAATCTGCCATAAAAAATTAATTTTGCATGCTGGAAAAATTGAAATGATGCATAGCTTTTTTACTATTATTCAGAAATCGTGAGATGCGGTCTGGTGTGATGTAGGTTTCAGAAAAACATTTTCTTTATCGTGCCAACATTTCGATCTTTATTGAGATCATCTTCAGGACGTTGTGTTGTCTGCATTTCAGCAAAAAAGTTCTCTGGTTGATAGCCAATGCGAGTTTCTTCTCATTGTTGGCGATGTCCTTCAGAATACTTTTAGCTGGGTGTCCATATGTAGTTGAAATTTGTTCATAGAATCCCATGTTCTTCGTTCTTCTCGTGTAGAAATGTGTGGTGATTAGTGACCGTTAATCGAAATGTTGGCACGATAAAGAAAATGTTTTTCTGAAACCTACATCACACCAGACCGCATCTCACAATTTCTGAATAATTATTGATTAACGGTCACTAATCACCATACATTTTTTACTATTATTGATTTTACATGTACTATTGTAATAATACTTTTTTAAACTACAAAATCTATTTCATATTTACACCAGGAAAACCATTTCTTCTAAATACCCACCTAAAGAAAAATGTGAAGGTATGATATTTATTTGAACCTGAAAAAATTAAAGTACAATAAGCAAAGGGAACAATTATTAAAGTCCTTAGAACATTGTGACAACTTAACAAAACCGTTTTCCTTTTAACACAACAGTTGTGTCAGGTAGTATAATGGCATAAAAGTGTTTATAGAGATTTCTGAGAGATAGCGGGTTGAAAATTTAGGATGCCCAGTGGGTTGTTGTGGGTCTCGTGTGTGCCTGGGGCCTGAGCTCTGTCAGGGGTTGATTAGGGTGGGACAGGGAGGAGTCCGGTCATGTCTGGGACCTGTGGGATGTGGACTTTTCCATATTAATTTCAATGTAATGGTTTTTATCCACATCCCGAATTGGTCACAGTATGAAAGTAAGATTTAAGTGAAGATTTCGAGGATTTCCTTCCACTCGTGTTGTGGGATGGCTCTGTCAGGCTTGGGTCTCTGGTGACCTAAGCATCCCACTTACATTGGGCGTAATCAGTAATAGATAAGGCCATTTAAAAAAAATAATAATAATTAAAAAAATAAAAACCTGAAAAAATCATTCTTACTACATTTCAATACAAAAATGTAGTATTTATATGTAATAATATGTTTATTTTTAGTTTATAGGTTTTAAGTAAAATTTACTCCTGATGATTTCTACTTACAACGTCAACAAACATGTTTTAAGGAAAATCACAAAGAAGTTTATTATTATTTTCATCATACTGTTTATTTAAGTTTGGTAATGAAATCCAGTAAACAATCCAAGGATATGTAAATAATACTTTGTAAAAATTAAAAATGTTTTAATAGTCTAATAATATAAAATTCTTGTGCATCTTGATGATTTTTAAAGTCCTATGTGTCTCAATTTTCTTCGAATTCCTTGTACATAGTTGTAGATAATTAAATTATAATTTTAAGTTAAAAAACAGTTTATTAGTTGTATATATATATATATATATATATAACGTATCTGTGATAGAAGAAATACATGTACCTGAGATTGAGTATTAACTTATGAAAGAAGTGAGACCAAAGGATGGACCGATGAGTGCCACTAGATTTTAAGCAAGACTATTTTTATTTTAGTATGTAGATTCATTTTCACCTTCATTTAAAAAAACAACAAACATGTGCAATAAATTTAATTGTCCTAAAAACTGGGTAAAGTACGTAATTTTATTTTTATAATGTATGTATATATGATGTGTTATGTAACTCTGTTCATGTAAATTTTGTTTTCAATAAATTAGGCCCTGAAGATGGCAGAACATTCGCTGAAAGCTTGGTGAAACCCAGTAGTGATGTTCTTTATTCACCTGTAGAATGACCTCAAGAAGATCCAATACAACATCATATTTTTAAAGTTGTATTGGACAGTTTGTACTTTGTTTAGGGATATAACTGTTGTTATATGTATATAATAATAATAATAATAAACTGTTCACTGTTGAACTACCAACCTTTGCCATACATGTTATAAATACATTTGTATGCAGATGTCTAATGCAACTCCTCATAAATGCTAAGGAAGCTGAGATGTGAGCATACCAAAGAACTCAATTATCAGCCTTTAAGGATGGCTCAGTATTGCACTTAAACTAGAAAAAGTCACTACGGCACCAGGACTAATATAACACAAACCCTTCTGTTTTTCCTTCTTCTTCTTCTTTTTCTTCAGATTAATGTAGTTGCAATTATTATCAAATCATTGAAATCACTCAAACAACTACTAAATATTTGAAATTAATTTATATAAATTAGTTCTCTCGAACTGGCAAAAACAATTAGCTTTTGGTTGCACCTGGATAATAAATCAACAAGTTTATCAATATGATATTTTTATTACTAATCAAATCCAATTTGTTTGGATGATTTTCCAAACAATCTAATAATAATAATACTGTATTATAAAAACAATTTACTAAATATTTGAAATTAATTTATATAAATTGGTTCTCTAGAACTGGCAAAAACAATTAGCTTTTGATTGCACCTGGATAATAAATCAACAAGTTTATCAATATTATATTTTTATTACTAATCAAATCCAATTTATTTAGGTTATTTTCCAAATAATCTAATAATAAATTATAATATAAAAAGAAAATCCCTTGGTATTTTGCCTCAAACCAACCCCCACATTTACCCTCTTTTGCCACCGTTCAATTAGCATAAAAATGCAGTGTCAACAGCTTTTTCTCCTGACCCTTACAACATTTACATAACAATGTCCACAGTGTTATGGGTGAAAACTGACTGAAGCAATTAAAGAATGATGAAACCCTTGATTCATACATTGACAATGTTGTGATTGACTGAAAAATTACCCTATCCCAACATAATGAAGGACTAATAGATGAGCTTATTAATAATAAACAGAGACCTTTTAATATTTTAATTTGCTTGTCAAGCCCAACAGTAGATCAACTTGGAACTGATATTCAGTCCATTTAGTAAATTAGAAAGAAACGTTAATTATATAATTTAATATAAAACTGGATACAGGGAATTTTGAAAGAAAGTCAACTCTCAGTTCCTATGTCAAGCTTTGGAAATATATCCTTTTCGTCAAGCTTTTGAAACTATTGCTAATGATTTACTTGGTTAACAAATATAAATTTCTAATTGCAATGTTAAAAATTGTGGCTTCAATTGGGTTTTGATTGAAATGTACAATTGGTGGGTAGTATTTTTCTTCCTCTCTACTAAGGCTAAACTCATAAATTTATTATGGTTGAAGCCATAATTTTTAATATTGTGTGTATATTTTTTAAAATATTTGTTAAAAAGAATATCACTAGAAATACATTTAAAAAACCAAAAAAACGCACATTTATATTTCATCGTTTATTTCAAAATATATGTATGTATTTTTATATTAATTAAAGCATACATTATAAATGTAAACCAAATTAAATAATATCAGAAATTCATGAGCTTTAATAAAAAATATTTATTTATGATGGTTTGAATGAAAATTCACCAAAACCTCAGAAAATAATCATTCAGTGATAGAATAAATTGTTAGTTAAATTTTACTCTATCTATATATTTTATAGAGTAGTATATGTATATATATTTATATTAGCTATATTTATATAGAGTATAGTTTTAAAGTCCTGATGTAGGGAATGTATTTCTCAAAAGCTTGATGAAGGAACATTTTTTTCATTCAAAATCTCCCTTATCTCAAATTTTTAAACACAATTATAATATTAAGACTGATACCAATCAAATCAAGATATAATTGTCATTTTTATAAACTAAATTGTGTCATAAAATGAGAACACAGACCACACCCTTGCTGTTCAGATTAAAATCAATGTCCAGTAAATTGTTCTATTTAAACCATTTAATTGTGCGAAAATTGTAAATAAATTCCTGTAGACGACTTCAGAAATATTGATTTTTTATCGTACTCAAATGGAATTTTTGTTTTTTCGCAAATATTTATGTTAAAATTACTAATTATATGGGCCAGGCACAATTTAACCGTCATCTGGGCAAACCTAGACCCTGGAAAAATATAACATTTGTTATAAAAAATAAAGTTTTTGAATAAATATTTGTACCTATGCATTGCCTCGGCCCGTGACCAAATGGCAGGTAGACATAAGTATGTCTCTTGGCTTTTTCCTCATCGCTGAACCTCTCGGGCTTAAAAACCTTGGGCTCTGGATAATAATCTGGGTTCATGTGTATGCCCACAATTGATACGCACATTTTTAAGTTTTTTTCAATGTACAGATCTCCTAGTTTTATTGGTTTCGTACAGATCCTTTCTGCTCTTCCTATAGGCGGGTATAAACGAAGTGTTTCTGAAATATATACATTTTGAAGTTATTATTTCCTAAAGGTTAAATTAAAAAAAAATAATATAATTCAAAAACAAGTAAATTAATATATACTTAAAAAAGAATAAATTATCAATAAAAATTTAAGATTTTAAATTCATATAAAACACACGTACAGATCAGAATCGTGAAATTAAAAAAAAAAATATATATATTTAAAAAAAAAAAAATAAATAAATAAAAAACCTGCAAGAACCATATCAAGGTATGGAAGATCATTCAAATCATCATAAGACAACTTCCCAGAAGCCGATTCCAGTTTTACTTTGATTTCAGATCGAAGTTTCTCCTGAATTTGGAGGTTCTGTGCAAGCTCGTAGCAAGCCATTGTTAACAAAGTGCTCGAAGTTTCATAACCAGCGACAAGAAACAGCACAGACTGAGCAATTGCTGTATCTTCGCTTATACCATCTCCTACAATTTTTTTTTTATTTTAATTGCCTATTGTTTTGTACAATACACTTAACTTTATATCTGTATAAATAAAACTAATTAGAGACATTATACACATATGATAGTTGAAAAAAATATTTTTTACAAATTTGAAAATCTTATAAGAACCAACATTTATGAAATTTGTGTACCAGTTTGATTTTCGTCTTCCTCTCCTGAAGATATGTTTTGTGCATCCATTAACAGCTGAAGAAAATCATTTCGCCTGTTTTATAAATGTTGATATTTTTATTTGACCAATGACCAAAGTATTTATTTAATTTTATAAGTCACCTCATGTTGTTGTCTAATCTGTACTTTGTCGTCTCTTTTACAACTTTGGCCAAATATGTCACTGTGTCATGGTTAAACAAAGATACTGGAAGTAGGTTTGTTATAATATTAGGTACTTCTAAGGAAATTATCAATATAATTACCATTCTACAACAAATTAATAATAAATAATATTATAAAATAATAATAAAAATTATAATTGCTTGAAATTATTATTTTTCGATTAATTTTGTTCTATAAAAGTGTAATTTAGCTTGATAATTTAAAGAACCTTATGGTTAAAATGAAATAAAAACAATTTTAAAAAGAAATTGAATGTTACAGAACTATATACAAAGTTTTGAATTTGTGCTAAAATTAAATTTCATTCTTTGTCCTTTCCATTCTTATCGTTAGATAAAGGAAGTTATATTTCAAGAAGGATTAATTTTGTTTGCATCAAAAAACATGAAGCAACGGTGTAATTAATTGTGTAAAAGAGTTAGTTGTATTCATGAAAAAACTTTTTTTTTCTATTAAGCAGGTTTTTGTTATCCACAGTGATACTTGGTACATACCCCCATGTATAACAAGTCTACTGTGCGGGTATGTCAACGAGTATCAAATATTTAAATAGCTCCCATATACATCTTCCTGTTCCCTATTAATTTTAAAATGGACAATAAAATATCCATACTTATATTGATTTTATCTGATTAATAAAACCAATTTTGTGTTAGTGTTCTAATAATATTTTATATTTATATAAAATTTACCTAGCTATATTTGATATATTATGGAAATTGGCTATTTTGTTTGAAAATTCAGAACTTTCATTTTCAAAACTCTTGCATGTCACACCAAAAGCAGTACTGGCAATGACATCCAGAGTGAATTTACGCATAGTTTCAGGTACGTTTATTGGACCTGTTGATTCTCCCCCTGAAAATTTCATAATTTAAGATATTTTTCATTAATCGGATGAATATTTTATTACCATTTTCTTTAATGATTTTTGTTATGTATTGTTTTAGGTCTTGAGAAGATAGTTCAATTGTGTCGAGCATCTTTCTGATTTTCCCAGTTGAAAACGCTGGTGCCACAATCGATCTGACTTGTTTCCACTCTTTTCCATTGAGTATTAACTGTACGTTAATGTCACAATGAAAAACCATACGTTACAATAAAACAAGAATTTTACTACCATCATTTTAGCAATATGTGGGTACTTATTAACTATAGGAGCCCCTCTGTCTACAAAGTGGTCAAAGTTGCTAGACATCACGCTTCTTAGAATATCTGGGTCCTGGATCATCAAGACTGGCCGAGACCCTTCATAAAATCCTAGTAAAACACAATTAGTTTCTGGAACTTAATCTATTATCTATTTTTACTGACCTATATAAGGCTCACCATAATACTTGTAACACATCTCGGCATAAAATTCATGAAATGACTTTCTCATAAGAAACCTATCTTTAATGCTTCCAAAAGGAAAGGCGTACTCGATTTCTTTGACACCACGCTTTTTCCAGTATCCACGGTTTTTAGTTATATGCATGTAGAAAAATCCAAGCAAACTGATAATTACAGCCAAACTCCATGTCAAAAGTTCCATTTTACCTTCAGGTATATTATTTTATTCTGTATAATTAAACTTATAATTCTAATCAGTTCACTAAAAATTAATTATCTGAAATATAAATCAAATGATTTTAAAATCAAAGCTTATTTGTGCATGAATAATGAATAAATGTATAGCAAAAAAAATTAAAATTTTACTCATGAAACATTATTAAAAAAATGACTATTACCTTTACTCCCAAATTAACAAATCCACAAAAGAAAACATTCTAAACAGAAAAGTCACACAATTGTTATAAAGAACAAGGAGGTTGATAAGAAGAAGGATAAGAGGAACAGAACAATGAAATAAAGAAGCTAAGTAGAAACAAAGATAACTCTGGATTACAGCTGGCTTGAAGGCCACTTCCAGTAATGGAGTATTGACCTTTCGCTCCATTTTTTTAAAAATAAAATAGTACTTGTATTATAAAAATAACTAAGTTGTTTAGAAAAAAATTATTTATTGACAAAATAAAAGTTTTTTACAAATAATAAATCATTAAAATAAAAATCAGTCTCTATTACATCAAATCATACATCTTCCACGTCTGCAGCTTCATCAAAATTATCACAAATCATGGGAAGAGAACAGGATGGGTTGATTTCCTGATGCAATTCTTCTGTTGTTATTTCATCTTCAGGTGGCTTGATGCTATTTATCAACCTATAGGAAAAGAAAAAAAAAGTAATTTGTCGTTACTGATCATTCTGGTCTGCCTACCCTCACTGTATTGGCCCGTTCTGCATTTCGCCATTTTCAGTTTTGGGTCTGTGTCTTATTTTGTTACCTTTTATATATTGTATTTACAGACCCAGCACTGAAGATGGTGAAACGCCAACAAATGATAGACCAACCCAGCGAAGATAGGCATACCAGGATGATCAGTAACAACCAAATTAAAGATTCATCACTCTGCAGACGACAGGAAAATTATATCATAATTATGTATGGTAAATATTATAAATTTTCAGTACATAGTTACCATTGTCCTTTTCTTCCTTGCAAATTTGATGCTGAAAAAAGATACATTTTAGTTAAAAGTAATGAGCAATGTATAAAAAATGTGAATTTTTTATTTATTATTTTTTGATTATTATTTTATTATGTTTTTATGATAATTACATTTCTGAGTGCCAGATGTCGACGGAGTTGGGGTTTCAGGATGTGTCTCAGGAGTTTCAAGAACAAATGGACTTAAAAAGTTGCTCATTTCAAATTTTACTTCACCAGGAGGTAGCACTAAAAATTAAATAATTTTAAAATAAGAAACAAAATTAAGATTAAATGAAATGTTTAAATTTTAAAACAAGCTACATTAAATTTGATTTTTTCCTTCTTGGTTTATGATTTGATTAGAAGAATGGCTATAGCTTGACACTTGTACCATAATCATTTGCAAGAATTGTGAAGACTTTATAAGCATTGAGAGTGTTCTTGTGTGTATGTATGTTCTAGATAAGCCCATGCATGCTTTATTATAAAAACTCCACATTTATAATATATTAAATTCACTAATTTCGTGGTCCGCTTGTCCAATTAATACATTACAATTAATTAAAGTTTTTAGTTGAGATGAAAAAAAGTTAATGGCACGAGCGGGATTTGAACCCACAATCTTCAGCTAGATACGCCGCTGCTCTACCACTTGAGCTATCGTGACCTCGATCCACTCGGACATCAACTTCCTATCTCAACCCCACCTTATGAGTTTTGAAAAATGGCAAAAAGGAGGAAAAATAGGGAATACTATTGTAGTATATAGCAGTGGTTATTCTTCGAAGAATGAAAGTGACATGTTCACACTTTTTTATATTTAATATCATTTTCCACTGCTTAAAGGATGTGACGATGGGATTTTCATAATAGCAAAGGATGGTGTAACTTCTGAATAGTGGAAAGGATAGTTTCAAAAAGGGTACGAATATCTGTGGTTTATACTGTGAAAAGGATGGGTTATAAGATACGTTCCTTGGGTATATATTTGCGTGATAGCTGACAGATAGAAAAAAAACCACTAATGACTTGAAAGTATCTGTCGGTTATGAATTTTGGATCAGGTAGTGAGTGAGTGTGTATATAAGAGAGAGGAAGATAGTATGAATGTATGCACACCTACAAACTGACAAAATGTGTGTGTGTGTGTGTGAGAGAGAGAGAGAGAGAGAGAGAGAGAGAGAGAGAGAGATAGTGAGAGAGAGAGATACAGACAGAGAGTCTGTGTGAGTGTGCGTGTACTACTTTTCCCAAAACAGTGTTGATTTTCACACTAAAATATTCGGTCAAAAACTAAAACTGCTGTCAATATTATAAACAAATTTACATTTGTTTAATCTTGCTTTTGCTGCATTAAGTGCACTCTCCTCTTTAAGCCATTCTTCTTTGTCAAAATTAACCATCTTAAGAATTTCATGGAACCTTAGCCTATCGTCTTCTTGCTTGGCCTGGAAATTTTTTTTTTCTGATTCAGTTTCCTCTACCTTCCTTCTCTCTCTTGAATACTAGAAATACAAATACATTGATTGTGAGCAAGTTAATTATAATACTTAGTACAAACAAAAATTACATTACAGGTATCTCAGCAAATACAAAATCGAACGCCTTTTCATGGACTAGCTTGTAAAAGCAAAAGCCAACTTCTTTGCTATTCTGTACGATATTCTTTACAAATTCTCTTAGTGTTTTCCATTCTTCCAATTCGATTCTGATCCTTACTTTGTTTCTAAAAATTAATTATCACTGAGCTAAACCATTTTTTCATTTGAGAAACTGATTTAAAATAATTACTCCAATGGCTGGGTCATGAAGAGAGCAAACATTAAATATAGCCCTCCTACTCGTTCCCACTTTGTGAACTTGGAAAGAGCCAATTTTTTAGCAATTATAAGAATTTCCCTGGTAAAATACTTCATCTCTATAACGGATGGCCTTCCACTAAAATAAAAATAAAAAATATATACATCATTGCATTCATTTAAAGATTATCATATAAAATAATATTAATTTTTTACTCAGTAAAAATGTAATAAAAGTTCCCACAATTTTTACACAACATAAAATGAAAGTATTAGGGTCTTAGTTCTGATCGAGAAAGTAAATCACTATTTGTTAATGCAAAACCATGTGTACAATAATTTCATTATTTACACAAGAGTATGAGCAAAGCATTCTAGTGGCACAGATGTATATGTGCTTGTATATTTGTGAATATTTATATATATATATTGATCCTGACTATTTTAAATGTTCTTACAACGTTAAACCAAAAGGAAACACTGACAAATCAAAGATCCTTTAGATACATACAGCAGCATACCATTTTTTCATTGTATTGACAGAAATCATAAAATCAAATGGTTCTGTTAGTAAATCAAAAGATCTACTAAACAGATTTTTTGAAAAATTCAGTTCCCTTACGGTAAAGCAATATATGGAGGAATCGTCATATTCCATCTGACAACTAAATAACAATCATAAAAAAATTCATATTGTTTAAAATGCAAAACATTACAAGATTTTACACAATATGAAGTGATCAACTTGATGATAATACTACAAACCAATTAAGTTTACCAGTTTGAGAAGACCTGGAACAAATTATTTGCTATCTTTATTTAAAAAAAAATACAAAGTAAAATCCTAACTATGCAAGAATTTACATCTAAATAACTTTTAAGAGATCATAAATAAGCATAAATTCTTATTAAAATTATAATATTAAATTAAATTACAAAGGCAAACAATTTTACATGGCAATTATTTAATTAAACTTTTACCATCAATATAATGACGAAACTAAGAGCATTATAAGTTAAACATTTTAAATAGAATATTTTTCATCAAAAATTTTGTAATCCAGTACTGTACTCTCTATCACCAACTTATTATCAATAGATTTGAGCTTTCAAAAGATAATGACGTTTTTTGGATTTGATTTTTTTTTCCAGGTATGAGGTTATATGAGCCTTGTGGTGCTGGTTTGTATGTTGGGTGTCAGGTTTGAATGCTAGATTCGTACCCGGGACCTTCACCTTACAGAGATGAGCATCGTGTCAACGACTTGACGATTACAGCCACCAGCATCCCCAAACAGCCTGCTTTGCATTAGTATAAATACTTGTGGCAGATAGCAAGAGTTAATTAACAATGTCTTTTTATTATAATAATACAAATAAACCATAATATTAATTTAAAAAAAGACTGAGAAACATAATTTTTTGATTCAAGAATGTATGGATGTACACATTTTTTGTACTGAATAAAGTTCTGAAATTAAATAAATAATTTTTTTTTCATAAATAAGTTTAAGTTATAAGATCAATTACAGTATTTAGATTTAAAGTTGTTTTATTTTCAACATGGAATTATTATCTTTCATTTTGATTCAAATCCAATAAGGATATAGTAAATTATTATTCTAATACTATACAAGATAAACTTTTAATAAATTGATGTAAAATATGAATATTAATGTTATGCTTATGTATTTTTATAAATAATATAGATTTCTGATGATGGGTGTAAATTCCCGAACGTCAAAAGTAAATGATTTTACTTTATTAAACAAACAAACAAACAAAACACATATGAAGACATCAGCATTTAAAAATAATAATAATTATTATTATTAATTTTTAAGGGCGTTTTAATGGCTAAGGTCATTTCACGCCCTAACATCCAAACCTTCTATCTTAATTTAGCTATATCCCTTCTGAGTGCGATAAAGCTCTGACTCCAAACATTCACTCGTAAACTAATTTATCCTATTGCCATCCAAGCTTTAATATATACTTTTAAAATTCTTAATTTGGATGGCCAAATGTATGCAAAAATCCCATTTTAAATTACATAAAATTTATTCCAGTTTTTTTATTAGAATTTTGAATTTTTGTGCCATAATTTAAACATTTCCCATAGGCTTGTATGGCTAATAATAATAATTAGACTAGCAAAAGTTTCAGCATGAAATCTTTTTATTTAAATTGCGATTTTGGGCATTGTAGTTTATTACCCTGCAATTTGTATTTTCTTACATTTCATTTCAAAAATTCCTGAAAAAAAGAAAGAAATCTTGCACGCACTACTTTCACTCAAACATTAGCAGGCAAACATTCAATGATATAACAATTTGGGAAAAGGCCTAAATCTCATTATAAATTCTAATAAATTTGAGAAAGCTGAAAAGAGCTCTCTGGGAGAAACACTGGGGACAATTGTTTTAAATTAAAAATTCCTTGAATAGTATCTTTGTTTTGCATATTTGTTTATTTAAAATTATTTTTATTAGACAATTTTGATGGCTTTTAGGGTGCATAAAATATTCTTACTAGTTTCACCCCACACCATAATCCCATAACATAATGTGTATTGTGCTAAGGCGGAATAAAATGATTTTAGAGCAAATCAAAATGAAATACTTCTAAAAACTCAAAATTTGTAAAAATATTTTCTGAATCTCTTTACCAACGTTTCAGCCTGAAAATTAAAGTTTACATGTTGCCTAATAATACACTTACGCACTTATTTATTTAATTAAACTAATTTAGTCATATTTGTAAACATATTTAAAATACTCAGCCACTAGGAAGCATAATGGCCCTAGCCATTTTTCCTTGTATTTACTTTTTACACATGAATGTACAATATTAGTCGCCCATTGATTATACTGTAAAGAAATAATAGGTCAAAAAGTAATTTCTTTAATTACAAAAGGAAGTTTGCAGGAACAATTTAAAATGTTTCTGCACAATGTAAAATAATTCTGTCTGTTTATATCAGGTGCTTTTTAATAAAAAGGATATAACGTTAGTTTTTCTAAATTTAAAAGCAGAGCATTTTGATCGAGCCAATCTTTTATTTACAAAAATTCTTTATAATAGAGTTAGTAATTTCATTTAATTTTTTTGCTGAACAAATAATAAAATTGTAATCAGCATAATTAAAGATTATCCCAGAATTTTCCATATTAATAATCATTAATGTAAGTAAATTCAATAATTTCGTGGTCCGCTTGACCAATTAATACATTACAATTAATTAAGGTTTTTAGTTGAGATAAAGAAGTCAATGGCACGAGCGGGATTCGAACCCACGATCTTCGGCTAGATACACTCAAGTGGTAGAGCAGCGGCGTATCAAGCCGAAGATCGTGGGTTCGAATCCCGCTCGTGCCATTGACTTCTTTATCTCAACTAAAAACCTTAATTAATTGTAATGTAAATAAAGAAAACAATAGGACCTAAAACTGTACCCTGTGATACCACACATTTAATTGATATCAGTGCACTACAGCAAGATCCAAATCTAGTTTTCTGAGCCCTCTCGAAAAGATACGATTGAAAAAGATTAAGAGCAGTTTCATTTATGCCAATTTTAAATTTTATTAGTGTTGTATGGTCAATGAAGTCAAATGCCTTAATCCACATACCTCCATATAGTTATAACTTTATAATTACCAATATACATAAATATTTATTCTCAAAAATGTACACCTATTCAATAGCATAATAATGTAGTGCACTTTTTTTAAACTTCAACATGTCACCTCAGCATGAAGACTCCTGAGTGCTTTTGCATTTTAATTTTATATATTTAATTATTTGTTATCATATTATTGTAATATTTATTATTATTGTTATTAATATTGATGTTTTCATCCTAGTAAAATTAAATATATTATATTTACTGAACAAACCTGAATATATAATAAAATTCCATTTCGATCCAAGATTCTACGAAAGCGTTGAAATCGCACGTCATTTTTCTGTAGAAGTTGACTATCAAATTGCTGCAATCCGCGTCCACCCCTGCCATTATTTTATTTGCAGACGACATGGCACTGCAAAGTGTGAAGAGGCCGAAAATCCGAAATCATCAGAGGCTCTGCAAAACTGTAAAGGGCAAAGCGACTGTTGATTGAAGGTTCCGTCGTTGCTAAGTAATGCCGTGCCGCTCTTTCATGAGTACTGAAGTTCTCTGATCGTAGCGCCAGCATGAAACATGATTGACATCACAAGCTGAGAGATTTCAACTTGAATAAAATTAAAATACAAATCGTAATTGAAATATATTGTTTATTTTATTTTACAGTTATTCATAAAATCACCGAATACATTATTCCGCTTATCGATGGTACCAATTTTAAGACATAACGTCCCATAATGTGACGTTTTTGTAACATACTGTTGACAGTTCGATTTGCGGATAGGGGTATGGCTTATTTGCAACGTTAGGCTTTGGATAAACGACTTATTTACTCCATGTTAAAACCGGTTAACGTAGACACTGTTAATACGTGTAAATACGATTTTTATACATTTTTTAGCTCTGGTCGAATTTTGTTATTAACACAAAGTTTTCAATGATTTCAGTCTGAACAATTGTGTAAGTAACAGTTTTATTCTTGAGTCGTTTCTCAAAATTGTTCATTTCATTCAAAAGCATGTTCAGCCTAGGGTTAAATTAGAAAATGCTTATGTTTAGAGCTTAATGTCTGGTTTAGCAAGTGGAACCCAGGTCTGAATGTTATTTATGGTTGGTCCTTGCACGTTTAACTCGGTGACACTTCATCAAATGGTATTTTACAAGCCAATGTACATTTGGTTTGATCAACACCATCGTCTGTCTGTTTTTGTCAGATTTTTTTACACCCATGTAGCACATCCTGCTGGTTTATCGTGTTTTATGAGTTTCAATTTTATAGTCAAGAGTATGTACAAAAATAGCAGATCAACCACTGAAGATGCACCTGACATGGTCAGGGTAGAATACTCAAACTTTTGTCATCTTAAAACTGTTCAGTCATCTTGCTTTTCTAACTACTATGATTACTTGAGCCATTTCCTACCATTTGGCATATTTCATGATAACTCTTACCATAACTTCATGAGTAATGTTCCTATGATTGTACTCTACCTTTAGTCACTCTTCCCTTCAATTTCATAATAATTTGTATTATATTATTAAAAAAGTGAAGTAATTCTTGTCATACAGGGTTTAACATCTAATGTAGGTATCGTGAGCAAGGAGTCGTACTACTCACAATACTTTTTTCCAAATTAAAGTTCAAGGTCTATGCTGGGATTCGAACCTAGAACCAAGTATGATAAATATGAGTCAGATGCCCTAACCACTCTGCCACTGAAGTCTGCAAATTTTTTTATGAAATCTCTTAATCAGGATTGATCAAACTATGGCCAGATGGAACCACATCTAGACAATCGCTGAATTAAATTTAATTATATTGGTAAATGGATGTGACATTACAAGTATGACAAAAGATCAAATACATCACTAACAAATGTCTAATTTATGATAGTCTTCTAAAACTGATCTAGACTAAGGACTGGAGCTTTGGGATTCTGCCAGGTGCTCCGTCATAAACGAAGCCAAACATCCTAATCCAAAATTATTAGAAAAATTCCAATGCGTCCTTCGGTATTGAACGAAACCATGTACAATGACATTAGCATACACTCCGTTCTTGACACTACTATCTAGATATCTTAAGTTCCACAAACCACTGTCACTGATTAACCACCCAACAGCTCTCATCCTGCCGAATACCTACAAACAAACCCTTTTAGAAGGCTAAAGAGGCAATGTCCCAGAGATATCCTGTCTAGTGAAGAAGTGATCGTGAAATGTAATAGGTAAATGTAATTGTCATTTGGGGGGATTGTGGTATCCTGATCATGGCCTAGTGGTTAGTGTGATGGACTTCAGCTTGTAAACGCTGCAATCATGGGTTCGATTCCCGCCATCGCCCCGGCCTTTTTTTTCATGCATCCCTTCCCACAAAAAATACACGACATCCTAACAGACAACTGTCCCCTGGCTAAATGGGAATCATAAAACCATTTTTAAAAAACTCACTTGGAGTTAAAGTTAGTTAAAATACTCACCAATCTCTGATTTTTTTTTATTTTTTTATTGTTATTATTATTTATTTATCTTTTTGTCCAGTTGCTTGTTACTCAAAATTATGAGTGGTTTTAATAAAAACAAATTAAAAATGGTATAAGTTGGTAATAAAAATTATATGTAATTGAATTACTATTTCATTGTTAGACTTTATACTACCTACTCATAAACTTATGACTAGAGCCCAGATTTTTATGCAATTGCATAATCTTTTTGCAATTGTTTTTTGCTTACAGCCGTGATAATTAGATATTTATTCAAATCATACCTCCGTGGTACAATGTTTCAAATTTTATTCTGCATATTTTTGCATATTAATTTCGCAGATTTGAAACATTTTTGATTACCTGAAAAAATAAAAATAGAATAGCCAACTAACAACATGAGAGGAAAAATGAAGCCTACAATTTGATTCAGATTTCAGTTAAATTTCCAGAAACAAAGACATTAACAAACTAACACTGTAGAATTATTTTAAAATAATTGTCATCTTATTTGACACATCTATTTCCAAAACATCTAGGTGCAGTTTCTCCTTTAAAAAAAAAAAAAAAAAAAAAACTTTTTCTAAGTAGTCTGGTTGTAGAAATAGGCACCTCATTTCAAATAAAAATAGTCAGTCCCTTTCATATTTTCAACCCAGTTACCTTACAATAAAAAATGAATCTGGGAACTTCAATTTCTTCTGAAATGGCATGTTGAGTTTTTCCAAAAATACAAGATTGACTGAATTGGAGACAATTAATTTAATTTTAAATGTAAACAATAAAATTGTACTGGGAATCAACGATCCTGTTATTTAGTTATTTATTTAACTACAAGTATGCGTCTATCCTGTCAACATTGAAAAAAAAATTCTGACCAATAAATGCTGTAGTTTTTTCAACTAACATTGAAACTATTACTAAAACACTAATTTCGTGGTCTGCTTGACCAATTAATTAAGGTTTTTAGTTGAGATAAAAAAGTCAATGCACGAGCGGGATTCAAACCCATGATCTTCGGCTTGATACGCCGCTGCTCTACCACTTGAGCTATCGTGACCTCGATCTACTCAGACACCAACTTCCCATCTCAACCTCGCCTTTTGAATTTTCCCTCCTTCGAATCCCGTTCACTAAAGCTCTCCGTGGCCATTTCATTTGTCGTCGAGAATCCAGTCCGATTACACGACATTTGAAAAATGGCAAAAAGGAGGGAAAATTCAAAAAAGTGGTGTTGAGATGAGAAGTTAGTGTCCGAGTGGATCAAAGTCATGATAGCTCAAGTGGTAGAGTAGCGGCGTATCTAGCCGATGATCGTGGGTTCGAATCCCGCTCGAGCCATTGACTTTTTTATCTCAACTAAAAACCTTAATTAATTGTAATTGAAATCTATCTCATAGTAAATTTTAATTCAGTTCATTCTTCTAAATTAAGCTTAATTATTTATTTTGCATATTTTAAATTATATGATTGTGTGATTGAGATGTTTCCGTTCTGTTTCTTTTCCAACTGAATATGTACTAGAACAAAACAAAAAAATATAGGTTAAAAAATAGTTAATTATTTATCGGGTGATGTCTCTGTCATTCTCACATTTTAAATTGTTTTGTTCCAATTGAGGGTTTTAGTGCATATAAATCCAGGCTGTACTTAAAAAATAGATTAGATAGCACTGAATATATTCATTTTCACAGGTCAATTGTTTATATGCTTAATAGTTTTAATGTTTACATCTGGAAATGTTTTGCTGTCTTAATTTTACAATAGGACTGATCTGAAAACATTTTTAGTGCTACTTTGAACCAAAACAAATTTATAGTTTACTGACACTTGATATTATGTATAATTCATGTAAGATGTTAAAAAAAATATCTCTGGTACTCATATATAATTTAGTTAGTTTATTTTTGAAAATAATTGTACCTCAGTAATCCTAATTGATACGGTAAACACTAAACCCAATCCAGTCATGTTTTTATTGTTAAAATTGTTCTAATACTTATGCCTATCTTCCAGTTACTTGTAAATACCTTTCTTTAATTTCAGAATAGATTCAGAGATGGATTACAAACAGTTTATACAGTTGGCACAAAAGAATAAACCGTTCGAGCGTATCCAATTGGAAGGCTCACAGACAATCGGCCATTTGAAGACCGACAAGGGGAACAATTCAGGATTCCGAACAAGGAAGCTAGGGAGGGAACGGCTGGGGGTTGACTATGCAAGGCAGTATCAACTTGAAGATGAAGAATACGAGCGTCAAATGCAATATACTCATGCGGGTCAAATGTACACTGTTGATGATCTAACTTCTGTTGCAACGGATTGTTTCAACATGGAACCCTTGAGTGAACAGTTGACTTATGTCTATGAGAGTTATTCTTTTGAAACTAAACAAGACAGCGATCTCCAAATCAGCGAATACAAGGAACTGGTATATTTCTTTCATAATTTTATATAAATAATTTTAAGTTGTTTAGACTTAAGCAAATTCCAGTAAAATCATGTGAACACTTCTTACACTTCTATGTACTATTTTTACAGTGGATCTGTTTAAATTGCAATTTTATACGCACAATTGTGTCTTTTATTTTGAATTATGTTTGTTTTAGATTATTGAACACATAGATCAAAATTTAGTTACAATAATCAAAGGGCAAACTGGTTGTGGTAAGACAACACAAGTACCGCAGTTTATCCTTGACAGTTGCCGAGACAACAACATCCATTGCAATATAATTGTAACCCAGCCGAGAAGGATCGCTGCCATATCTGTAGCCAAACGTGTCTGTGACGAGCGCAAATGGGAACTCGGGACACTTGTCGGCTACCAGGTAAATTGTTTAAGAGTTTTCATAACCGTACCTTTGCTAAATTATTCTTTTTTCTTAAAGATCGCTTTAGAAAAACAATGTTCAAAAGACACGAGACTGCTTTACTGCACAGCGGGTGTTCTTCTCCAGGAGTTAGTGGCAAAGCAGAACTTATCGACCTACACACACATTATCATAGATGAAGTACATGAGAGAGACAATGAGACTGACTTCCTTCTCATTGTACTAAAAATGCTTTTGAGAGTGAATGGAAATAGAACTAAGGTAATGTTCATCAAACCAAACCATCACTATCAGATTTTAATACCATTTGCTTTCAGGTTATTCTCATGTCAGCAACTATAAATACAGATAAATTTGCTGAATATTTTTCAAAAACGGTTCGTAATGAAAAGATTGAACCACCAGTCATTGAACTCACTCGCGAAACAAAGTTCCCAGTTTCTTGTTATTATCTTGATTCTCTTATTGATCGAGTTCCTCTCAAGGTAATTTTTTTTTTTTTTTTTTTTTTTTTTTTTTATTATTGCATCATATATAATTTTGTGGTTAAAATGTATTTTAACTCTTTCAAAAATTATTTTTTAAGGCGCCAAATGTATTATATAACGAACCTACCATCACTAAAGAGGCTTATGAATTTGCCATCATGCTAGTTGAAGTGTTTCATAAAATTGATATTCAGGAGCACAAGAGAGTACCGTTTTTAGGCTCAGTATTAATTTTTCTACCTGGACTACAAGAAATTGAAACACTTTATGAAATGCTCTCAAAAAGGAAAGCCATGTAAGTTCTTAAATAGTCCTCAGTTAGCCATTAATTTTTATACTAACATTAAATTTTAGAGAGAAGAACCCAGAAGAAGAATGGATGATATGCCCATTGCATTCCTCTGTTACTTTTGATGAACAAATTAAAGTTTTCAAATTGCCACCTAGAAGGACTAGAAAAATAATACTTGCAACCAACATAGCAGAATCATCCATAACAGTGCCTGATGTTAAATATGGTGATGAGTTTTTATATGTTGTAAATTTCTTATATACTTTCTTTTGTATTTATTTATTGTTTACAGTTATTGATTTTTGTCTAATGAGAATGCAAGTCCAAGAGTGTGACTCAAGTTATTCCTCTCTTCAGCTCTCCTGGATTTCAAAAAACCAGGGGCAACAGCGTGCTGGAAGAGTCGGAAGAGTTATGCCCGGTCGAGTCTATCGACTTGTACCCGAGGCTATTTACGAAGTATCCCACATTCAGCATTTTGGCAATTAACTGTTTATTAATATTCGATTTTCACCAGGATTTCGAAGAAGAGTGTATACCTGAGCTAGTGAGATGTCCTTTGGACTCGTTGGTTTTGAAAGCTAAGCAGCTTAAAATGGGTCCGCCCGTTGCCATCCTTGGTAGAGCCATGGATCCACCAGATTTGAGTAACATATACCGGACTGTATTAAATCTCAAAGAAGTAAACATTTATTATTAAATTAACATTTCTTGGCAAAATTAAAAAAAAAAAATTACAGATGGGAGCTCTGTGTTTAACAGTCGATGGTGAATATAAGGAAGATGACGGTGATTTAACTTTTATTGGAGTAATTATGGCCTCGCTACCCTTAGACACTCATTTGTCAAAACTTATCATATTAGGTCACATGTTTAGCTGCTTAAAAGAATGTGTTATAATGGGTAATGATTTCAACTCTGATTTGTATTATTTGTGTGTTCATTTTTTATATGTTTGTGTATGTATACAATATCGATATCGATAATATTTTTTTATCGCTGAGCACGTCTTCCACCTCAATTTTATTTACAGCTGACTCTCGTTATCCGTGCTTTCACTCATTCTCAGTTGTCCTCCTAGTGAGTTCAAGAGGAGAGTGGAGAATCACCAAAAAACAACTGAATGTAACACGTTGTAATCTTTGCTGTAAAGTTAAAAAATTCATATATAAAATTGACGACGGGCACAAACGATACAGAAAGTGTCTGATTGGTTGGTATGGCATGGTGGTAAGGATACTAGGATGTGGGGTTTGCTCTTCCCAGGCACTGCAGCCTTCTGGCTTATTGTTTCTTCCTAGTTACTTAGTTCAGTGCAATAGATTCAATCCTTCTCCTTAGAAATATCAGGTCATTGACTGTCGCTGCTACAATTTGATTCCCTAAGTTTTTTTCCGTACTTTAGGTTAAATCTCTATTGAGCTGTTTCTTCACATTCAAAAATAATGAGTGGCCGTTTCTTCCTCCTCATTACATAATCTACAAATGGGATCATCGTTGAATATACCCATGTTTTGTAGATGTTTTCTCAGATGCCAGTGACCGGTTGGTAGTCCTACCACTCCTCTGAGTTTGGCCCTCTCCAATTGCAGCAATGCTTTTGCCAGTCTTGGTGAGGGTTGTTTCACCATAAGTTTACAATGCCTAGTACTGCTAGAGTTTATCCACTTCTCCTTTTGTTTTGCTAGGATCCCTTCTGTGATGGAAGATTCTATATTTGTTTTTGTTATCCCAAGTATAGGTTCAGGGCCTATGTATGGTCTTGCAGATCCTCCTCTGGCCAGACAGTCTGTTTTGTCGTTACCCAAAATTCCCCTGTGCCCTGGCACCCAAGATATCAAGTTGTTGTGTTTCCCTAGGTTTTGGAGATTTTGGATGCATTCGCTGACTAGTTTTGATGTGATTCTTTTACATGCTAATGCTTTAATAGCTGCTTGGCTTCTGATCTTCTAAGGATTTTTTTGTCAGTGTAACCTCTTCTAAGATTTTCCAGGGCACAAGCATTGATGGCATGTATTTCCGCTTGAAAGACCAAAGTATTCTTCCCTAATGAGTTTGATTGCTCATATTTTGGGCTTGTACAGAAAATGCCTGATCCGGTTCCTTCGTTTGTTTTGGAGCCATCTATGTACCATTTCATTGTACCGTTGAGACTTTAAAGGAAGTTGTGAAGATTGTTTCCGGGATCATGCAGTCAGTCCCCATTTCTAATAATGGGTGTCTGATTTTGTTGATTATGGTTGTATGCCCGAACTGTTTAGTTCCTTTTCAATTTAATTGTTTCTGGAGCCTAAATGAGCTTTTCCTAGCCTCTCCTTGTGTCAATATTTCTAGTGGAAGTAGGTTTAGCAAGGTTTCTAATGCGTTGGTAGAGGTTGTTCTCATCGTCCCTGGTCTGATTGGTATGCTTATAGAAGAAAATGCTTCAAAGCCTGAAATTCAAGGTGTTTCATATTATCCACAGTGATGTTTATGTGATTGTGATTGCTATCGCCCACATATAACGAGAGTCTACTGTATAATAACTTTTAAAAGTGTGGTTAAATGACAGTGACACCCCAATGGGTAATTGTATTTGGACTTGTATGACATTGATTTAATTTTCTTTCTTATATATATTTTTTTTTAAATATTTTAATTATTTTTTTACATCTAACATTTATTCTAATACATTAATACATATTTTATGTTAAAATTTTAAACAACTCATGAATATATTTTTAATGTGATTAAAAGTATGAATTTCTTTCTTTGGTTTTTAAGCAAGTGCTATGGCTGTGAAAAGTATATTCAGCACACCATTTAAACAACAGTTGGCAGCTTACAGTTCAAAATTATCGTGGGCCGATTCGTCATTCAGTGATCCAGTTGCTTTTCTAAACGTTTACTGGGTACGTACAGTGTTTACTGAAAAATATATTTTAACACTATTGACAAATTTTGGTTTTCATTTCATATTTCATCCAAGATTGCTTCATTTATTGTATTTTGGTGGGATTCATATTGTCATTTCATGGATATTTATTGATTACTTTTGTATTTTATTGGTTTGCACATGGATGCATGACTTCGCCATGCAAGTCTAGAACTAATTTTTTACATTTAATAATTCCTTTGGACCAAAAAATTTTATCTAAAGGTTTTCTTAAATAACCCAATTCTTTAGCTAATATAAAATTTGAGGTATCTCCTGTCAATTGATAAGGCAAGAAAACAGAATTATGATATTGATTAAATTCACTATTTTGCGTGGTCCGCTTGACCAATTAATATCATTCAATTAATAAGATTTTAAGTTGTGATAAAAAAAGTCAGCGTCACGAGCGGGATTCGAACCTACGACCTTCCGCTTGATACGCAGCTACTTTACCACTTCAGCTATCGTGACCTCGATCCGCTCAGACACCAACCTCCCATCTCAACCACACCTTTTGAATTTTCCCTCCTTTTTGCCATTTTTCAAATGTCGTGTAATCAATTTGATTCTCGGCGACAAGTGAAATGGCCTCGGAGAGCTTTAGTGAAGATATACTCCATTTAACTTGTTAAATTCACTAGTTTTCGTGGTCCGCTTGACCAATTAATACGTCGAGGTCACGATAGCTCAAGTGGTAAAGCAGCGGCGTATCAAGCCGAAGATCGTGGGTTCGAATCCCGCTCGTGCCATTAACTTTTTTATCTCAATGAAAACCTTAATTAATTGTAAGTTATTGATTAAGTTATTGTTTATTATTAATAGTCAATTTAGATATAATTACAAACATCACCAAAATAAATAGCAACCGACATACATAATATTAAACCACTAATGCAAAATATTAAATACACAAAGAAAAAAAACCCAAAAAATCAATTTAAATGAAGACCAACTTTTCCTCTCATTTAACTTTCACCTTCAGAAAACAATGCAAAATAAACTATGCAGATTTTGGCTGAAATGATCAGGGACTGTCAATTTGTACAACATGACTTCATTAAATTATCTTTGTTGTAGCTGTGGCGACATAAGACCACAATGGGAATGTTTAAACGCACTGGAGCCATCAGTGAGCACGAGTGGGCAAAGAAGTATTTTGTCCAGGTAAAATCGTTAAAGGAAATTGCACGCCTTGAAAATGAAATACTCGAAAGGTTAAAGAGGCTTAACATCGAAGTGGGTAGAGAAGAAATCCAGAATGATTTATACACCGAAAAAGACAAGGCTTTGATTCTTAAAGTAAATTTTTTTGTATTTAAAATTGGACAGAATTGTAAATTCGTTTTCGTTACAGCTTGTTTTGGCAGGAGCTGCTTATCCTAATTTCTTCTCGAGGAGTACACCTGATGAAAAGGAAGCGGTTAAAATTCTAGGAGGCCGGGATCCATTTTCTACTATATATTTAACCAATTTTCCTCCTAATCAACCAGGACCCCTTTACATTCAGAGTATAAAGAAACATTTCAACCATTGTGGATCTGGAATAAATGTTTCATTTGACGGAAGCTTGTTTGTATTTGTAATTGGAATAATTTTAAAAAAAATTGTTTACTGTTAATTTTTTTTTTTTTTTTATAGTAAAGTATACCTTCAGTTTGAAAGCAGTCATACTTCAATTGATGGAGCCATCAAAGATCACATCACTGGAAAAATCATGCTGGCTATTTACAGGGCCATTAAACTTCGCCAATTAGGAATTCCAATAATAATCCCTGTTCTACCGTATGTTTTGCTCATTTTTGTTTGCATTTTATCGTGTACTGTAAATTGATTTTGCTCTCCAGTCATGCAGAAGCTCAGGAGAGGGCAAAACAGATTTTTGGAGACAATCTGAACACAAATGTTTTCTGCTGGGAGAAGAAAAAGGAGAAAGTTGTTCAACAAGTCGTACTTCCGGGGCTTAGTGTTTCCGTCATCCCTGTCATTATTACCCATGTAAGTATATACAAATCGATTGTTTAAATTTTTAAAAATCCCATGTTTATTAAGTAAAATTATGCTAAATGCTAATTCAATTTCAGCTGGACAACCCACATCTTTTTTGGGTCCACCTGAGTGCCGACCAGTACAAAAAAAGACACCTTTGGCTTAATTCGCAGATGTCTCGTCCTGGTTTTATGGTGCCGATTAAGAGGGAAAATGTAACCCATGGGAAAGTCTGTATAGCGCCTTATACTGAGGACGGTGATAAAAGTTATTATAGAGTAAAAATCATTTGGGTCAATGAGACCGATCCTATATCAGCACAGGTAATTTCTAGCTTCTTATTTCTAAAGTTTTTACAATAATTCTCAGCTTTTATATCTTTTATTTATATAATTTGTGTGACTACAGGTTTTGTACATTGATTATGGCAATAAGGAAGTTGTGAGTATCAATGATTTATATGATTTTTCCAAAGAAGGAAAAAAACTCGGTTTAGAAGACGAGCCCGGACTCGCTGTCAAGTGTTCGCTAGCTGAAATAGAGCCTTCAGTAGCTCTGAATCCAAAAGGAAATTGGTCTCGAGAAGCCATAGTCACTTTTATGAAGTATTTCAGTGACAGCAAGGGTATTGCCAAGGTAAATGTTTAGTCGATTTGGTCTGACCTAAGGGTTCCCTTTATTTATTTTAATTTAATGTTTTATCTATTTATATTTTTTTAAACTTAACACCCTCTGCCTCCCCATTTTCTATGACAACCTCAATGAATTTTCCCCATGAAACTGATTTGTACTGTTGATCTTTTTATGGGGATTTCCTTATACTAAAAGTAAATTCATCCAATAAAAGTTTAATCAGAAGTTTTAAACAATTATAAATGTACTGATTATATATATTTGTACAACAAAAAATAATGCAAGACAAAAATGATAACATATTAGTCCGACTTTCTAACAATTCAGTATTCATTTTGTCAGTGAAAAAAAAAAAAATTGTTTTGCAGATATATTCTACTGTAAATGATACAATGATCATATATTTGTACAAAAATAAGGCCAATAATGATGAAGAGGAAAATTGGAGCGACTTAGTCCCTGAAAACTCCTTCAACCATTATCTTATTCAGAAAGGCTTTGCTGAAGTGGCTGAAGAGCCATATTTGTCTAGGGTATTTAAATAGTTGTACACAAAAAATCATTGAATTGATTTTATTTATTTAAATAAATTTACAGGAGAACTATACACTGCGACAGTTGGCTCAGAAAAGCCCTGAAATGAAAAGTCCATACCCTACTTTGTACCCCAATAAAGATCTTTTTACAGGAATTGCTTTTCAGTCACCAGCTGAACACGAATGTAAAACTAAGGTTGAGTATAATAATAAACATTTTCATAATCAAAGTATTGAATTATTTTTTGCCTTTCTACCACAGATTAAACTTAATGGACCAAAAAGCCCTTTGGAAATGAACTTAAAATGTCTTACGAGAAAGTGCCAAGGGATGGATGTTCAAATCGAGTGGAATTCTGTCAATTCAGTTTTACTAGATTTATTTCCCATGGACATGCACGATAGGTCTGATTATGAATATGTCAATTTTTAATGTTAGTCTTCTTATATACAATTTCATTTTTATTTTTTCCCCATTTAACAGGTTAATTATAGCATCTTCAGTTTCTCAAAAGAATAGTTCAGACCGTCTTATTTTAAGAAATACGACACTTATGCCAAATATACACGGCCTCCTTGCTCTACTCATAATGATATTTGCACCAAAGACAGAATTGAGGTGAACAAAATATTTTTTTCATTAAATTTTATATTACATACAGATATTCCATATTTTAAAAAAAAATTGTTGCTATTATTCTAATATTAAAATTCAATTTTTAGGACTGATCCTGATAGAAGGGCCTATACAGGTGCTTTGTGTGGTCTTGGCTTTAATGAAGAAACAAGCGAGGCTTACAATCCGGAAAATGATATTGAAGTGACTTTTGATACAAAATTTGATTTAATGGATTTAGAAAATGTAAGCCTTTAATAAAGTTATTAAATTCACTAGTTTTCGTGGTCGGCTTAACCAATTAATATTATTCAATTAATTAAGGTTTTTAGTTGAGATAAAAAAGTCAGTGTCACGAGCGGGATTCAAACCCACGACCTTGATACGCCGCTATTCTACCACTTGATGTCACGATAGCTCAAATGGTAGAGTAGCGGCGTATCAAGCCAAAGGTCGTGGGTTCGAATCCCGCTTGTGACACTGACTTTTTTATCTCAACTAAAAACCTTAATTAATTGAATGACTTTAATATACTAATGGTACTTTTTATATACATTTAAAAAAATTGTATCAATCTTTCTCTATTATAGATTAATAAACTGAGATTCTGGATGAATTACATAGTCCGGGGGGATTCCAACGTGGAGGAGAATGACATATCCTCAGTTCAAGTGTTGCAAGCTCAGAAGAAAATCAAAGAATATATTTTAAGGTAATTTTCTGTATTACATAATAATGTGAATAAACATTGCTGTTGTTTTCCCTATAACAGCCTTGTTGGAAAAAAGAGGCCGAGCAAACCCCAGGAGATATTTGAAAAAAGTTTCGAATGGGGATTAGCGCCAGAAGAATACCTTCTTAATCCTCAGCAAGGAAATATCAAATCGATCTATCCACTTATTTGGGCCATCGAGCTGAAAGAAGGTGTGGTCTTATCGAAAATCGCTGCAATGCAAGCGCACCTCAAACAACTTCGTTTATATTCTGAAGGGTAAATTTCTGCAATTCTACCCCTAATTGAAAAATTCTTAAGTTCTAATTTGTTTTTATTTTTTTAGAATTGAGATGTTGAAGGGTGAAACTAAATGTGAACTCTGCCAAATTGTTATCAAAAATGTACCTCATCTCAAATTACACCTTCACACAACACTACATAAGACTAACTTTGCAAACTTTGCCACTTCTTCATAGCTGTGAGATCATTCTACCATCACTGTAATATTAAAATTAAAAATACTTTTGTATATTTTATCAAATAACTTTTAACTATAAATTGTTTTATAAACAATGTGTAATATTTCCCTATCATATTCATTAGTTGTAATGTTTTCTATTGTTTATATAGTATATGTATAGCATTTTTTAACACTGGTGTTTCTTATCAGTGACTTTTTGATGTTTACTTTTAAAAATGATGAATTCTTTTCTTATTTAGAAAGTACCATTTTTATAATTGTATTTTACAAATCAAACTTTTCTTTGTACAATTGTAGGAATAAAACAAATATAGAGTGAAATTTTAATCACATGCAAATTTTTTGTTATGTTTAGTGAATTCAAAAAATTCAGGCTTCAATTTTTTACATGTAGAAAATCCTAGCATAATGAAAGGGAGTCAGGCCAGTACGAAGAAATCACGTAGTACATTGGTATTATCATTATATCACAGAATAGAAACTGAAAAATTGGGAGTAAACAAAATCCCTGGATATTTTATGAGCTGAGAATCGTAATTTTTTTATTTTTTAGATTGTTTTGGAGAACCCTATTTAAAAGATTTTTATTTGCATTCTGTTAGATGGTTTAGTTAATTTTTATAAAAGATATATATTTTTTTAACAGAAAGTTTTCCCAGTTGTGAATCAGCCAACTGGTTGGGGTTCTATGATAGACCCGAGGCAGTATTTCGCTAGGCCTGAACGAAGACATGCAAAATCTATGCTGAAATCCTACGGGTTGAAGATTGATCCAATATTCGAAGGCGATATCCGATTTGTACAACACAAAAGGATTTTTCCAGGGTTAATGACTGTCGGCCACGATTTCATATAATTTTCGTCTTGTCAGAATTGCAATAAACTTTATGTGTGAAACTTATCTTTTATATTTTATAATGGGTATTTATTTTCAAGTCTATGTAAGTTTATCATTAAAACAATGAACTTCAGTAATGTGTAATCTATTTATACATATGCATTAAATAATAAAGCAATTCCTGTCATAAGAGGACTTCGCTAACATCCGGCTAAGTTTAAAGACAAGAGTTCAAACCACTTTTTTTTTTTTTTTTCAAATTATTCTCAGCTAAAATACCAAGGGCTATGCCCAGAACCACACAAGCATAGTAGTGTACCAATTGGACGTTCAACCTCTCAGCTACCGGTTTTCCTTATACATAGGTATAAAAAGTAGAATAGCTCTACTAGAATTTATAAAAAGCCAACTTGTGAAAGATTTCCTCCTGTGAAGAACTTATAATTTGGTTATTGTTGTTCATTTTTTTCTGCCTATGCTGTTTGCTACAAAAATTCAATCATCAACATAATCAAGCATTAATTATTCAAGACAGACTAGAGCACAATATTGTACACATTGGAATAGCTTGGGTGAGGTCTGTGCTCAGATTATGGGTCCGGATTTATGAAGTGTACTCGACAGCTTTGCATAAAATGCTTAAAATCAGACATTAATATATTTGTGAAATTTCTGTGTGATGAACCTGCGATGTGGCCGTTATGTTCTGAAAGACCCACAGACTCTCTGAAGATGGCAAAATGCTGAAACATGTCTTGACCAACCCAACAAGGAGAAGCAGGCCAAAATGATCGGTCACGACCAAATTAAAATTACCTTTGTTGAAAATTGACAATATTAAATCCAATAGAAGAAATGTATTTTAAACATGGTTTTTTCTGCTATTTGAAATGCTACGAAAAAAAATATGTTTCCAGCTTTAATTTGGTTAAATTAATACAAACATGTAATGTTTTATTTTTTTAAATTAAACTAACAGCAGATGTATCGAGTTTCAGGGAATGTAAAACTACTTATCTAAATTCTCAATGTACTAAGAGAAAACAATGTCGAAAATCAAAAATTTTTTTCTTCCAAGAACTAACTTAAGCAATCACATCAGGTTTGTTCGTCGTCATTGAGTAATGTTCTTTAAATCTCCTGTTCTAGGTTCTAAAATCCATTCATGTAGCTTTTTGTTTAGTATGCAAACACAACACGTAATTTAGACAGAACCGCCTCCTGTCATACATGCATTTTAAACAATTGCACAAAAACTTAAACAAAAAATTAGCTGAGAAAAAATTCATATTACAGATGTTTTTATCTTGCTTTGTGTTAAACAACTGTGTTGGTTTATCTAAAAAAAAAATCTTAAGACAATTAGAATTACTTAATTCAATGGATTATTATTAAAATATAGGTAAAAATAAACTATTATACAGTGTAATGTCATAAAAATTGCACATTGCTGATAATTATTAGCAAGAAATTATGGAAATGCATGAAATCTATGTGTACCAATTTTAATAGTTTGCATGACAATAATGAATTTAAAGGAATAATAAAGTTATTAAATAGCTTAACAATGCAAAACTTTATACAACAAATTAAAATTAATTTAAAGAAAATTAAAATATTTTTATGACCTTATTGTTTAACCATTAATTGTGATTTTGTAGAAAGAGATTTTACCTTACACTTCCATCACCACAAGAATCATTTCCTGTGGAAGCAAAACCAGAAGTATGGACACGCCACTACCTTGTCCCCTGTTGCGAGATGACCAGGGTGACAGACAAATCAAAGAAGATACCCGAAAACATCCAACCTCCCTCTGTGGCAATCATCGGTGCCGGAATGGCAGGACTTTCTGCAGCCGTGAGACTCCTGAAGGCAGGGATAAACAACATAACAATCCTCGAGGCGAATAACAAGTAAGAACAAAAAACTTACAAGCCACATTCAGATTCATCACCGTCCATTTTATAAATACACATACTAACTAAAATCATTCTAGACCTGGAGGAAGAATAAAGTGTGTTCAGTTTGGAAAATCTCTTCTGGAATTTGGGGCTGATACAATCGAAGGAGCTTGTATGGCAAATCCTGTTTACAATTTGGCAGCGCTTGAGAATCTTTTCATTCGATGCACAGGTTGTAGGAAACAATATTATCTAACTACATCAGGAGAGACCTATCTGGAAAATTTTAATGCTAAAATGTATGCCTTTTTTTCACATTTGAATTAGTATCAACGTTATGCTTTTTTGATTAGCTTACTATATTTTGTTAGTTATATGTATAATACTCATACTTATGCATTCACTTTTATGCATATTCATTGGCTAATAATAATTTTAAAAATTTTTTATTAATTTTAATTTAAAATGGTGGTACAAGTATTTGATTTCCATTTAGCTAAATAGTGAGCTGTGAAGAGGGACCAGGGACATGGCCCGAAAAGCATTAGCAATTATAATATTTGGCATAAAAATAAATGTGTTTAGTTAAAAAAAAAATAATAGCAAACTTTCTAGATTTAAAATAATAAAATTGTTAAATATAATTAATATTTTTGAAGAATTAGTAACTTTGGTTCATTGGTAGCTAGTTCAAAAATCTCTATTTGCCGTAAAAAAAATTTCTTTGAATATATCCTTTGAGATAATTCTTTTCATATTAGCTAAATGTTTGATTTATTTTTTTAAAGTAAAGAATATCTTTTTAAAAATATATTTATGTATTTCAGGCTCATGCGTAATTTACTGACTGAAGCATCAGGGTACTTTGCTAAACCAAATGAATGCTTAGACATCAGCCTTGATGAATTTCTTTACCAAAGGATTGAAGAAAGCATAAAACAATTTAAAGCAAAGGACAGGCAACCTATAGAAGTTGCCCTTTTAGGACTCGCTAATAGCATGCGGGGAAGGTGAGTTTTTTTACCCCTACACTATTATTTATCAATTGATCCTTTGTTAAGATGGGGGTTTTTAGGATTGGTGAAGATCTACAATCAATTTCTTTGAAAAACTTCGGTAGCTACATAGATATTCCTGGGGGGAATATAAGAATACCAAGGGGCATGATAAGCCTGATAGCTGCATTGACGAGGGAAATTCCAGCGAGCAAAATGTTTTTTAATAGGGCTGTTCAAAATATTCGATTTACACCTTTTTCTGTTGATACTCCTAGAGCATTAATTAAGTGTTGCGATGGAGAGGAGTTTTTAGCTGACTATGTAATTTGTACTGTCTCATTGGGTGTTCTTAAATCGTCTGCTGATTTGTTGTTTTTGCCTTCTTTGCCTCCTGAAAAATTAGATGCAATTAAAACACTAGGTTTTGGTCAAATAACCAAACTATTTTTAGAGTATGACAAACCATTTTGGGCAAAGGGTGAAAGATCAAATTTCCTTTTGGCTTTGAACAAATCGGATAAAGTAAACAAAGATGAATGGATGAAAGGAATTACGAGCATTGAAGTTTTACCAGGAAGGCAAAATATTTTAAAAGTCACTGTAGCCGGTAAAGAGGCAAATTGGGTCGAACAATTGAAACGAGGGATGATCGGGGAAGAATTGACAAATTTCCTCAGGAGAGTCTCTGGTGATATGTCACTTCCTTGTCCAAAGGAGCTTCTCATCTCAAAATGGTCAACTGATCTTAATTTCCTCGGGGCGAGGAGCTACTTGGGACTCGGCTCCAATGTTAAACACCAGTGCGCATTGGCATCACCTGTCCCAGGAAAGTGTGAAGAAGGGCCGCCAATTTTGTTGTTTGCTGGAGAAGCGACCAGCCCTGGCCACTATGGTACAATGCACGGGGCGAGGATAAGTGGAATCAGGGAAGCAGATAGGATCATAGATTTAACCCTTGAACTTCAAGGCCCACCCAAGCGACTCAACGTAAAACCACAAAAACAACAAACAGTACCTTGTTATTGCCCACCTCGAATTAAAGTTAAAGAAAGTTGTATCCCTACACAAAAAGACTAACAACATTCAAGCACAAGACTAACTTAAAAATGTGATTGTACTCATTTTTTGTTTATAGTAGACATTAAAATGTTGATGTGCTGTTTTCCTATTAATTATGAATTTTAATTAAATCAAACAAATATGTATTACCAAGGACGTAGGCAGTAACAGGTTAGTGTTAACACAGCGCTCATCACTGTAAAGTAAAGGTTGCTGCATTTGAACCCAATGTACTTACAAATGGGCTTTTTTTCAAAAACATCAGCACTCTGAGAGTTCATATAACCTCATAGTTGAAATACCCTCGTAAAAAAAATAAATTAAAAAAAAGTTATTAAAGATCACAGAAAAGTAAAATTTAAAAAGAAAACAAACAGCTAAATTAAATATTAATTAATATTGGTAATATTTGATTGAATTATTAACTAAAAAAACCACTATATTATTTTTATTTTAATGCCCTTTACAAAATGGTGGTTTTTATGATAATTCATGAACTTGTAGAAATTCCAGAACTCACAGAACATGTATATTATAAGAGTATAAAGTTCAGAGTTTTGAAACTGTCCTTCAGTTATTCTACAATGGATGTTGTAATCTCCATTTTGTAGGCATGGTAAAGATAGTATTACAGATTTAGAATATGGTCCAAAAAATTATAGCTAAGAACATTTTGACCAGCAGCCATTGTTTTTAAATGTCTAGTATATGTCATGTATTTGATATTATGTATACTTCCCTCTACTTTAAACTACATTACCTACCTTTTGAACTTGCCTTTTTTTCTTTTTTTTTCAGCTTGGTAGGAAGCCCTAATAGTTGCTTTACCCAAGAAACCTAAACCCAACCTTACTAATGACTACCGCCCTGTTAGTATTCTTCCATCACTATCTAAAGCATTCGAGAAGATTTTATTTAAACAAATATAATGCTCTTATATCCACTTTTCAATCTGGCTAAAAAAATTTGTAGTTGTGAGCCCAATCAAAATCTCAAATGATATTCACCTAGGCATCGATGATAAGTGTATTATTTCTTGATTTTTATTACTTGATTATTTCTTTACTACTTGATTTTTTTATTCATTCAGATCCATAAATCGTAATTTGCTTGTTTGGAAACTGATGCATCTTTTTGGTTTTTCTTCTACCTTTACCAATCTCATCTCCTCCTATCTGTCCTATCTATAGAGAATATACAGAGAGTTAAATCTGCAAATTCTATCTCCTCTGCCCTCTCAATTTCACCTGGTGTCCCCCAAGGCTGTATTCTTGGATCTTTACTCTTTTCCATGTTTCTAAATGGTCTTCCATTAGTTCTTAAATTTCTCCCAATTTCATCTTTATGCTGCTACGCTTGGCTTCACATTCAATATTCTCCAGTAACATCGCTGAAATTACCTCTCTCAACTGTAGTCTTCAATCCCTAAATCATTGATCAAGAAATATGAGCATTCTTTTAAATCCTAAAAAATTCCAGCCCTTATCAATTTCCAATAAACCCATTAATAATACAGATTGCCTATCCCTCGTCAAATAAATTTTTCCTAAAGTTAAAAATCTTGGCATTAACTCCAAGCTTACATGGTGTGACCATGTGCACTCTGTTATAAAAAAGGTCTTCTCAAGCTTCCAGTCTCTTCAACGCCTTAGCTTTTCATTCCACAGAAAACTAGAGTTCTCCTTATTAAATCCCTAATAATGTCTTTATTATTTTACTGTAGCATTATTTTTTTCACTTTCCTTAGATTCTCAATCTGCTCATCACCTTCAAATTGCTTCCTGCAGTAGATACTGTTATGATCTTAAACCAAGAGATAATCTTCCTTCCCATATTGAAATCTTCAGCAACCTTAACATTCTAAGTGCTTATACCCTTAGTTTTAATATACATATTTAAAATTAAATCAAATAAATGTCCTCATTATCTATCAACCTTTTTTCCATACACTCTTCTAAAACGTTAGCCTTATCCTTTAGAATTGCAGGGTCAAGACTGTGGAATTTGCTTCCCTGGGAGGTAGTTCTTCCTTGCTGGTTTGTTTCAAGTCCATGGCATCTGATTTTTTTAAAAATGACATGGATCATCTCCTTTTCTTCCCTCTTCCTTTTCTTTTTCTCGTTTCCTTCTACCTTTTTCCCTTTCTGCTTTTCTTTTGTAATGTGGTTTCATCATTTTATTATAAATAATGAATAATTTAAAGAATATATTATTGTCATTTGTGTGGTGATTAGTGACTGTTAATCGATATTTATTTAGAAATCATGAGGTGCGGGCTGGTGTGATGTAGGTTTCAGAAAAACATTTTCTTTATCGTGCCAACATTTTGATCTTTATTGAGATCATCTTCATGGCCTGGGATTTACAAACATTGTTTACATATAACAATTACATTTGGATGTGGAAAAGTGAATTTATACAATGCAAAATATATTTTTTTATATATTCAATCAAAATGAGTGAGTAGAAATACTTTGATTGAATATATAAAAAAATATATTTTTCATTGTATAAATTCACTTTTCCACATCCTAAATGTATTTGTTAAATGTAAACAATGTTTGTAAATCCCAGGCCCTGAAGATGATCTCAATAAAGATCGAAACGTTGGCACGATAAAGAAAATGTTTTTCTGAAACCTACATCACACCAGACCGCATCTCACGATTTCTAAATAAATTATTGTCATCATTGTTTTTATTTTTTATTATGGTTTATTATTACTAGTATTATTATTTTACTATGTTTATAAAATTAAATTTATTTCTAAAATATGAACAAAGTAAAGTAATAAAGCCCTATTTGTACCTTTAAAATAAATAAATAAAATAAATATTTTTATAGAAACATTTCTATTGTTTTTGTAAAAATGTTACATTTTAAATGATTCTCCTATATTATTTTATGTGCCTTAATTTTTGTATTTTGTGTTTAACAAGTTTTACTATCAGTATTGTACTTGATTATGTTGATTTTAATGATAATAATAGACAAAACTTTTTGAATTGAGTTTGCAAGATAAACTTTCAATCTAATTATGAACTGTAATATGTACTGTTGATGAACATATTTGTTCCATATGTAACAATTTGTTACTAAAGTATAGTTTGTCAGTTGTTAACCTTTTACTTTTTCAATTAAAAAACAAAACAACTAATATTTTTGACCTGTTAAAGTAGATTTTTGTTATTACTTTAAAAAACCCTAAAAGTGCAGTTTTGAAATCCCAACATGTCTAAACGCGTCAGTAAGGATAGTAAGGACTGCCTGAAGTGTAACAAGAAGCTTGTGAAAAAGGATGTATTCGTTACATGCTGTGATTGTCAAAAGAGCGCACATGCAGCGTGCACAAGGCTTACACCTGAGGATGTAAAACTGCACGTCGAAAAAGGGACGATGTGGCGTTGTAGGCCTTGCACTAAAGCGAGAGATGGAAGAAAAGCTATCAAGCTCGGTGCTGGAGAAGGGTCGGTGGAACCGAAAGCTAGGTCCCCTCGACCACACATTGAGAGAGGAATGGGGGACAACAAATACGACTCATCGCCCAATCTGGACAAGAAAGACGACAGCCAATTTGAAAATTTTTATGATAAACTAGGAGAAGGGTCAAAGCCTAAAATGGACTTACAAAGCGCCTTGGATACTATCGCAGCTCTCAAAGCACAAAATGAATCTTTGAATAAGGAAATTGAAACTCTGGCTTACCGCCTTGACCTCACAGAGCAAGCTACAAGGAGAAACATTTTAGAAATAACAGGTGTTCCTGACAAAAAAGGGGAAAACATGCTGTCACTTGTTAAACAGATTGGTACCGTCATTGATTTTTCAGTTTCTGATGACATGATAGACACTTGTTACAGAATAAACAGGCAACAGAAACCGGGATATCATGCCATTCTTCTTTACTTTGTTAGACGTTATGATAAAGATGCTTTCCTTAAAGCCTTTAGGGCACACAAGAACCTAACACCAAAAGACTTGGGTAGGAGTGGAGATTCGAAGATCTTTATCCGTGAAAGCCTTTCCTTCAGCAAACGACACTTACTCATGCAAGCGAAAAGAGTGGCGAAAGAGCTCAACTATAAAGGAGTCGGAGTTGCAAACGGTGAGATATTCATGAAGAAATCAGATGAGGGTGAGCCAATTTTCGTGAAAGAAGCAAGAGATTTAGAAAATATACTCAAGGGGGCTAAAAAGTGATAGTTTCTGCATGTCAATATAATTAGGAAAATGAGAATAAACCAATGTCAAAAAAAGTTTATTTTGTGTATTGAAGTCATTACTTCATATAAATTAATCTTGGATGGACTGTATTTTTTATTTTATATATCCTCTTGTTTAAAAAAAAATTAGAAATTCAGAGGTATTTACTTTAGGTTTAATTATTACCATCTACGCATCTATGTGTATAATTACAAAACAACCCTTAAGTTAATAAATAGCAGTGGCCAATTGGGTCTAACATAACCTAACATCCATGATAAAAAATCAACAGATATGTATCCACCATTAATATACAGAATGATAAATTGTGTCTGTTGTCAAATTTGGTATGGAATTTTCTGACCCCCCCCCCTTTAGATATTACATTATTACCTTCGTAGTCTCTCACCATTGTAAAATAAAATAAAACGTAGCTAGATTGTACCCATGGTTTACCTATTCTCAGAGGAGCCTATGATCAGAGACATTAGACTTTCTTCACTGGTTGTTCTGTTTTTATTACATAACGTAACATCCACACAAGAATTTCTTCTATTTAAAGCAAGAATTATGAACCACAATGTCCTAAAGTATTTATGATCAAGCGAACATCTAAATTAACCATTGGCCAAATTTGGTTTAGTGCATAGTGAAATTGGCTTTTGTTTTTAAATAAATAAAGATAAATGAAAAGTCAATAAATTCACAAATTTCGTGGTCCGCTTGACCAATTAATACATTACAATTAAGGTTTTTACTTGAGATGAAAAAAAGTTAATGGCATGAGCGGGATTCGAACCCACGATCTTCAGCTAGATACGCCGCTGCTCTACCACTTGAGCTATTGTGACCTCGATCCACTCGGACATCAACTTCCTATCTCAACCCCACCATTTGAGTTTTCCCTCCTTTTTGCCATTTTTCAAATGTCGTGTAATCGGATTGGATTCTCGACGACAAATGAAATGGCCTCGGAGAGCTTTAGTGAAGGTATACTTAATTTTAAACTTATTCAATTCACTGGTTTTGTGGTCAGCTCGACCAATTAATAAATTACAATTAATTAAGGTTTCCAGTTGAGATCAAAAAAGTCCATGGCACGAGTGGGATTCGAACCCACGATCTTCGGCTTGATATGCGGCTGCTCTACCACTTGAGCTATCGTGACCTCGATCCACTCAGACACTAACTTCCTATCTCAACCCCACCTTATGAGTTTCCCTCCTTTTTGCCATTTTTCAATAAAATCATAAATGAAAAGAAAAGGTTATTGTACAAATCTAATTTTATTTGTCCAAAAAATATAAACATCCTCATTACAGTAAATATTGTATGCTGTAAACTAAAAGTAACCTAATAAAATCACCATGACAAGATTTAAATTTAAAATCACAACATCCATGATAAAAAATCAACAGATATGTATCCACCAATAATATATAGAATGATAAATTGTGTCTCAAAATCTATAACAAAAAGAAAAAGTGTATAAGTCATAACATGTTTGATAAAGTAGCTATCACAATTATTAAATGAAGTTAAAAATCACACAATTTTATTAAAATGAAAAAAATATAGAGATTATACGTTAAAGGTTTAGTGTTTTTTCTAAATTTTTGTTGGCGATCTTTGGTCAATGTGTGATATAACAAAAGTACGGTAACTCATTTTTCACCTGTTATATAAAACATACTCATATCTCCTAAGATGTAGCAATAAATTCATAATGCAAATATTTAAAAATTAATAAGCAATATTTCATAATTGAAATGTTGGCATACAATTCATACATAAGCATCTGGGTAAGCAGTACAGCAAAATTTGTTACCTTTTGATTACGTGAGACTTACAAATTAATGTCATTTAATTTTAATATTGGTTTTACATTTAGAATTGAAGGGAAAGAACTAAATAGATAAAAATTCTACAATGCTATAGTGAACGACTTTCAAGGTTATACAAAACTTTACCGATTACACTTACACATAATATATATATACATAAAACAATAATGTTTAAAAATTACACCTTTAAAATTAAAAATCACACAATAAAAGTAATGGTTAAATCACACACAACTAGCACCATCATTCTCACAAGGGATGACATGAGGGGAGAGGGTAGTAAAAAAGGCACATAAATTAAATCAAGAATCATCTAAAAATTTTTTAATGATTGTTATGGAAATGATTTGTTACTGATTGTTATTAAAAGATAGCACCAAGATACAACAGGTGCATAAGCAATTGAAGAACTAGGGGTTAATTAAGGTCCTTCTACTTTCAAAATTTTGAGCATTGTACAATTTATGTTTGGGGATCTGAACTAAGGTAATTGGTTGAAACAAATAGAGAAATAAAAATAAAGAAGTAAACACAGTAAATAAAATTATTGTCTTTATTGTTAAAACTAAAGTCTGTTTGAGACCAGGTGAACTTTTATGAGATAGTAAATATTATCACAGTGTCAGAAAAAACTGAAAATCTCTTAAAATGATGTTATGATGATAAAACAAATATTTAAGAGTAGAAATGAGCTTATATTACAAAGATTAAACAATTCTCACAAATGAATCTTGTCACTACAAACTAAAATAGTAGAAAATATCAATTAAATCAAACGTTAAATGTTTACAGTTTTTTCTAATCTGCGCCAATAAAAGAAATCTTTAATATCAACTGGCAAAACTATATTTGCTTCAACCAATTAAAATAAAAAACTTCATTAAAAAAAAATTCCTAAGAAGCATCGCCATTATCGATTATTTCAAAATCGCTGTCACTGTCTTCCGCCTGCTGCAGTGGTTCTGCCTGGTATTGCGCACTTGAGAACGCCTTCGGGAAAGTTTTATAAAGGACGCTCGTCACGACATCTTTTATCCCAGTGGGTGGTGGAACGTCTGGGAAGTTGAGGTCTTTTACCAAGGAAGACTCTTCATCCGAAGAGCTGTGCTTTTCAGCATTGTTGAAGTGCTCTGACTTAAAACGCAGCGCGCCTTCTTCAGAATCAGAGTCTGATGACTCAAGTGCTTGTGGTATTGATGGAAGCACAAGCGAATCCAGGGTGTCGACTGATGATTCGTCGTGCCCTGGTATCATGAGGTCTGCCAAAGACGAATCTTCCGTTGTAGGAGTGGAAAGATCTTTAAAAATCAATTGATTATTATGATTAATTAAGATAATTGAATTCTTTAAATTTTTCTACCTTTTTCTAAATTAGCAAATTCATTCATTCCATACAAATACAATATGTCTGTGCTTACAATATTAAATTTGAAAACTGACTTTAACAAAACTTCAAATCAAAACACATCACACAAATAAACAGACAAACAGTCTATAATAATGAATTTTTTTTAACAAAAAACCATTATTGTAAAAGGTTTATGGTTGAACATATGAAATAATTACAATTAATTAAGGTTTTAGGTGAGATGAAAAAAAGTTAATGGCACGAGCGGGATTTGAACCCACGATCTTTGGCTAGATACACTGCTACTCTACCACTTGAGCTATCGTGACCTCGATCCACTCGGACATCAACTTCCTATCTCAACCCCACCTTATGAGTTTTCCCTCCTTTTTGCCATTTTTCAATGAAATGTGAAATAAGAATTAATGAAAGCCATGTGTCATGATGTAAAAATAAGCCAAGCCAAACAGTTTTGCTCTAGTCTACAAGGAACAAAGAGGTATATTTAATCTGATACAAACCATTGCTTTCACAATGGGCTCTTTTCATTAGTCCTTGTTCTAGAAATTTGAAAATATATTAATTGTTGGTAATATTTTAATGTTACTGATGATCTATTGGTGGGTGCTTTCACAACAGAAATTGGGTTTAAGTGAAAAACGAACAAAAATAACATGCTGTATTTGTGTAAATTAAGCTATAAACAAAATAAAGATATAATAAAACTTTTTTTAGAGAATCTAAAGGTAAAATAAAAATTGAGCAAATTATGTATGCAATATAAAAATTAATTACAAAAATCAAGCTTTTTTTAATAATCCTCACCATAATTCTCTCCTGCTTGATTAAGGAGAAGCAGGTTTTCCTTGTTTGTCTCTGGCATGTAGTCTTCCATGTTTCCCTCTAAAAGAATATGTTTTAATTTGGGCTAATTAAAAATGAGTCAAGTTTATTACCAGGAGGGACAAGAAGGGATGAAATGTAAGTGAAAATGGATAAAATGCTCCTCTTCCACTGCGGCGGCAGAACGTGCTTTACAACACCCGGTGCGACCATGAGAGTCATAGTCGATAGGTAGATGAGAGCCATCCCGGAAAACACCGTCCCTACACCGGCTGTGAAGAGACATCCTGCGCTCACAATGGCACAGTACTGAAACAGCAATTCAAATGTGATCACTCTATGAAAAGACTTTGAATATGGCATTGATGCATCCATATCTTGATTAATTTTGATAACAAAGGCAAAAATCTAAAGTATCAATGGACTAAAAGCAACATTAACATGCTGTGTTAACACATATGTTCACTTGTCACTTGTCCAAAAATAAATGTTTTTTTTTGTTTGTTTTTTCTATTAAAACTGATTAAAATTATATCTTACCAGCGGAGGTTGTGTAGCCCTCAAATATCTCAGCTTAGCATACTGGACCGAGACTGCAGCTCGGATCCCTGTAGCGTAATGGCTGATCTCTGGGACTGTCAACAATCTGTAAAAATGTGTTACAAGTCATGTGGAAAATAAATAAATTCTGTACAACACTTCTCTCTTCAAATGAGTTTCAATTACAAACTATTATTTTTTTATTATATTCATTTATTTTAATACAAACAATAACAATGGCTTTAATTTTATTTTTGTTCTTTAAATCTGATTTATTTATCACTGGATGAAAATTTAATTAAACATTCCATAATTACCGTAAATTTTGAGCATTAAAAAAAATTATTTAATCTAAAGGTTATTTGTTTTCATAACTTTGAATACACTGATCGAAAGGCAAAAAAAGTTTCTGAACACCTGGACAAACACTTTTGTTTTCCAAACTTCACTGTCTACAACCTGATTCTTTATTTTGTGCAATATTACCTTAATGGCACACGTGCTTTACTTAGTTATTACGATATCAGCCTTAAATAAGGAAATACCAGTCAGGAAGTAATTGTTAAGATTGTTAATGAAGGAAGATCATTTTGTGAAATAGGAAATGTATTTAATAAGCAACCCTAGACAATTCATTATATCATCTCCTTGTATAAGGAGCTCAGTAATACTGAAAATAGGCCACATTTAGGCTGGGCAGAAAAATTAAGCACCATCCAAAATTGTGCCTTCTCAAAGAAGTGACCACCAACCCATCAACAAGTGGCCCCGAAATTGCAAGTGTCTGTATAAAATTATAATATTTCAGTTACACCCCAAACAGTATGAAATACTATTAAAAAACAAAGTGTGCATGGATGCAATCCCACAAAGCCTATATATGCAAGAAGAATAGGGAAAAGTGCCTCCAGTTTGCTAAAGAGCATTTAAGTAAGCCTGGTGCATTTTGGGAGACTGCTATTTTCACTGATGAGAGATAATTTAAAATCTCTCAGTTCTTTTTAACTAAAGAGATGAAAAACTTCAAGTGAAAGAAGTGTGACATAAGCCAGGGGAACACTTGAAATTGAAGAAAACACTACCAACGTACCAATATGTCTACATCAAGTTCTAACACAGAATTTAAAGGAATTATTACTCACTATTAAACACTGTTAAATTGGGAATAGAAAGGACTTTCAGTTTCCAGCAAGACAATCACCACAAACACGACTCGGAAAATTCAAAAATGGCTACTATATAATGCGTCAGACACTACTCCTATCGCCCAATTTAAACCCTATTGAGCACTTGTGAAATCATATTGGAAGGCTGCATAAAAATAAAAAGATTAAATACAAAAACCATTTAATAGAAGAAATTTTACAGGACTAGTACATCCCTGGATGTAACAAAAAAAACTAGTTCTATCAATGAAAAATCATTTATTAGTGGTAATAAAAAGTAAGAGTGGATCTAAATTACTGAGATAAAATAAAGGTACATGTCAGTAAATAATTGAAAAATAATGTGTTCAAAGACTTTTTTAGCTTGAAATGTATAACTCCTATATAAGTATGTAGTTATTTAATTTTTATGTACTAAAATCCCGGAAACATTCTTCACAACTACCTATTAAGTCTCAACGGACTACAAAGGAGAGGAAGAACACAGGAGAGCATCATATACAATGAAATGGTACACAGATGGCTCCAAAACGAATGAAGGGACCGGATCAGGTGTTTTCTGTACAAGCCCAAAATATGAGCAATCAAACTCATTAGGGAAGTATACTTTGGTCTTTCAAGCGGAAATACATGCCATCAATGCTTGTGCCCTGGAAAATCTTAGAAGAGGTTACACTGACAAAAAAAATCCTTATAAGATCAGAAGCCAAGCAGCTATTAAAGCATTAGCACGTAAAAGAATCACATCAAAATTGGTCAGCGAATGTATCTAAAATATCCAAAACCTGGGGAAACATAACAACCTGATATCTTGGGTGCCAGGGCACAGGGGAATTTTGGGTAACGACAAAACAGACTGTCTGGCCAGAGGAGGATCTGCAAGACCATACATAGGCCCTGAGCCTATACTTGGGATAACAAAAACAAATATAGAATCCTCCATCGCAGAATGGATCCAAACAAAACAAAACGAGAAGTGGATAAACTCTAGCAGTGCTACACGTAGTAAACTTATGGTGAAACAACCCTCACCAAGACTGGCAAAAGCATTGCTGCAACTGGAGAGGGCCAAACTCAGAGGAGTGGTAGGACTACTAATCGGTCACTGGCATCTGAGAAAACATCTACACAACATGGGTATATACAACGATGATCCCATTTGCAGATTATGTAATTAGGAGGAAGAAACAGCCACTCATATCATTTTCGAATGCAAAGAAACAGCTCAATGGAGATTTAACTTAATGTACGGAAAAAAAACTTAGGGAATCAAATTGCAGCAGCGACAGTCAATGACCTGATACTTCTAAGCAGAAGGATTGAATCTATTGCACTGAACTAAGGAATAAGCCAGAAGGCTGCAGTGCCTGGGAAGAGCAAACCCCACTTCCTAGTATCCTTTTTACCATACCATGTATTAAATACTATTATATGTTATACGGTTTTTATTGTTGATTAAAATTTGTAATTGCAAGACATTGTGTTGTTAATCAATTTAGTCCATTACTATTTTAATTTAAAATGATTGCTTCTATTTCGCCGAAGGTGTTCAGACTTTTTTTACTGAGTGCATATTTTTAATTTATTTGCCAAAATAGTCTGGTTTATTAAATCCATTATGTTTAGAGGTTTTCTGATTGACCAAATTTCTTCTTTCAATTAATTATTCTTTTATTAGTCTGGTTTATGTTTCACTTAAACTGACCAGTGAGAGTAAAATGACAATAAAGTGATCAGTGCCCATCTGTCCACCGCAAAGACCAAAGACACCACCACATTTACCCAATGGGCAATTTCATTAAATACATCGTTGTTAATATTCATCATCATTTTTTCAATATTTTTAAGCATGTGAAGTAAAGCAATTCCTTTCATACAGAAGGGTCAACTACCATTTTGGGTGAATTGATAAGAATATTTGCACTTAAAATTAAAAATACACAATCCAAAGTGAATAATTTGCTTATCTACCGAAATATCCTGCTATCCTTGGAAGACCTGGTAAGATCAAAAGTTTTTAAAACATAATGTCTAAGTAGTTTCAAGATTTACACTAGATGCTCTGTTAAAATAATAATAAAATTAAATTAAAAATCATGGACAGTGTTTTCAAACTTCCATTCTCAGCAAGTATTTTACAGAAAATAATAAATAAAATAATCTGAAAAAGAGTAGATTTTATAATAGGCATCCAGTTTAATACCTTGGAACTGGAGTTAAAATTCGATAATTTTAATATTTAAGTAATTCTTACCCGGAGTGTGGTGGTTTCTCCGGTTGAGTCTCAGCAACATTTTGATCACCTGCTGATGGATTGACACTTATTTCCGGCCATATGTGCTCTACCCATGCCTCATGGGCGACCAACATGCACACAACTGTGAAAATCACTCCATAAACCCTCCATTGCAGGTAAGAAAGGAACCTGGATCAAAATAAATATAGAATGATATGAATAAATAAACCGAAGATAAACTGTCTAAAAAAAAGTAGGCCAAGTTTTATCAGTAATTATCTCGAAAACATAAAGGGTCCAAGGTTTGAAGTTTTTACATTAAATGAAATGAAATGTGGGTGTGTCAATATTTATCAGATGCCTTATTTATCAACAATTTATAATTGAACCCATTCAAGAAATAAACTGTCACTAATAATCGTAAAAGTGATCAGACTAAATATTTACAAGAATTCATAGATATCCAGTACAGTTCATTCTAAATTTCACTATCTTCAGTCTTTTACCTATTTGTTTGTTTTTTGAACATATATATGTACATTCTTGCTTTTTGCGTGTGTGTTTTTTGTTTGTATGTGTGTTTCATTTACTTATTCAATTTTTTTCTTGTTTGCACTCTGGTTGCATTAATTTTTGTAACTAGGTATGCATGTTTGATATTATTTTGTTGCTTGTGAAAGGAAAAATACACAATTCTTAAGAAAAAAATGCATAAAATAAATTATGAGGTTTCCAGTTGAAATCTTGGGGTGATATACCTAGTACATGGTCTATTTGGTCTTCTTATCCTAACTTATTGGTCTATAAGACAGATTTCAGCCTGTCACCTTCATCAGTGGTAAAACACTATGCTTAATGCACCACCGATTATGGTGATAGAGCAAAAAATATCTGACTTAACAAAACAGAGAGGTAAGAAGATCAAAATGATTGGAAACGATTAAGGTTCAAAAATAAATAATTGTAAACTGTGTTTTAAAATAAAAATCCTAGTTTGATGTGCTACCACACAATAATTGAGTTTGTCATAATTATATAGAGCTGTTTCGAGAAAATGTATTTATAAGCATGAATGTGTGTATGGTTCAAAAGCGTCGATGGATCCATCAAATACCCCAATGACCTAGATTAGTTTGTGTGTGTCTAGTTTATAAGTGTAAAGGGAGATGGAGGAAAATTGAGTACTCCTACTAATAAGTAAATGATATGTAAGTAAGAAAGAATGTATTTAAGAATAAGAGCGTGTTTAGGTTAAAACTGCAAGAATTAGGGGCTGAAATTATTTGTCAACAACCTCTGGAGACTATCTTCAGCAGTGGTATGGATAAGACCGAGGTCAGACAACAGACCGCCAAAACACTGGAGTGGGTGATTCTCGCAGCATATATTTGCAGTTGAACCTACATAAATCAATTATACAAAGTAGAACTCTTCTGCTAAAAAGAAAATTTCTAGATTTGCATTTACAAGACAGGAATATTTATTTAATTCATGGGCCAGATCAAATTTTCTGCAAGGTTATTATAAACAAAATTAAAGATAAACCAGAGGGCACAAGGTCAGTGATGAGAAAAGATGAAAAAGATTATGCCTTTTATACCATACGATGTGTATCAGATGTTGCCATGATGTAACGTATCTGCTGGTTAATGCATTTTTTTAACATTTCTGTTTACCACATGACAATAATTTAATAAACAACAATAAACATCTATACTTAACTGATAATTGAAATTTTAAGTTTCACCTTGGTAGGTAAAAATTTTATATAAAAAAGGCATTTTACATTTCTTAATTTATGTTTAATTTAAAAAAAGTTCTTAAATATAATCTACCCACATCAATATTTTTTTTATTGAATGTACAATGAGTGTTAAATATTCTGTAAAATTTTATTTAAAGAAATATTATTTAGAAATGCCTGAAAAGGTGATGTTTTAACAATAATATTGAACTTGGGAAATGTATACTGAAGGAAACAAGTATGTTTAACTCTAAGAGAGCTCAAAAATATAATTTTCTAATTAGATAGCTGATAAATTTGCCGAAAACAAGTGAAATCTGACTTTAGCCGACTAACTCATTTTTTTTAATCTCGTTACACTCTAATCATTTTTAATGCATACTGGACTGCCCAGAGGTCAGATAAGCAAGATTGTCCTTCATCTCCGTTAGGCATTTTATAAAAATCTAATACAGTTTACAAATTTCAACTATTCAGACTGCTAAAGTTGCAGGTGTGAATGCAAATTAGTCAAAGATCAGAATTCTTAATCAACTTTGGACTATGCGTGCACAGTAAATGTTTTAATTAGAGACCTGATGTTTTTATCTTTAAAATAGTTTTTACATTTTAGAGGTCATTCAGACAATGAAGGGAATTAATTTATATTTCTTCCTTTTGTATTGCATAATTATATTGCAGTTTTTTTTTTTTAACTGATTTATTTACTTATTCTTAACGGTGTTTAAAATTAAAATAATTTTTCCAGAAATAAAATATTATACTTGAGAAGGCATAGGAAACATACATTCAAAATTTTTTTTAAAACACTTTTAAGAACAGACCTAAAAATAACAAAAATTAAATAATCTATAGAAAGGGAAAAAAGAATGAGAACAAAAATGAAGAATTGTAAAATTGTAAATGCAATTTTCCCAAGAGTTGAACTTATATAGGAGTTAATATTGGAACTTCAGTGTCAATTCTAAACCAACTTTGGTCCTTTTGGACATTCAGACTGAACAGGACTATTGCTTCACCGTGAGCAGATGTTAGGACATTTGAAAAAGTGAATGGCTCACCTTAAAACTTGTATTTTATATTGCATAAGAAATCCGTTCTATAGTTTTCCTCATTGGAATTTTTGAAATTAAAACTACCCCACCTTTATTCAAAATGCACAATTGAACTATGAGAATGATACTAACTTTGGAGTAAAATTTAGTTAGTCTAGTAGTCAAAAAATCAGTACAGTTTAAAAATTAATTTTTGCCAGTTGTCTTACTCTTCAGACAAAATTTAAAATTACTAATTAATGATACATGAGAATTCTGACATAAGCAATTTTTTATCTCATTTCAAAATACAACGCATGAATAATAATATTATGAATAAATAGCAGTTGTTTAAACAATTCAAATTAAATCCAATGTTTGAAGGCAAAACAACTATGTGAATCAATTATCAACAAAGCCTTCATTTGGTAATGAGTTAAAATTATTTTGGAAGGCAAATCGAAGGTTTAAAAAAATTACTCTAAGTGCATGCCAAGTTTCGATCATTACCTAAAGTTTTAAACTTTCAAATCACTCCACTTTAACTAAACACAACTTAATTCCAAATAGGGCAAAAAAAGAAAATGTTTTGAGACAAATAAAAAGATGGAATTTATACTTAAAAAAACCAGCAAATGTGAAAGGTGAAGAACTTTAATTTCTAGAATAAGAATAAATTAAACAGTGCAATTTTTAATAAACTACTACTACTTATTATTATAGCATGATATTTTAAATTATCTTCTTTTTTAATTATTTCATGTCAGAAACTAATGCAAAGCATTTTTTTTTATCTACTTCAGTGTAGTTTGAATTCAGGATCAGACCTTGATCTTCTTGGCCATTCTGCTCACGTAAGTTAAATTCAGGGCTATCCACACTCCTCAAAACATGCAATTTTTAACTCATACTTCAATTTTTTTCCATATGCATACCATTCTCTCAAGTATGTCAATACTTCTTGATCAATATAAATGAGAATTCTGGCATAAGCATCTTTTTATCTCATTTCAAAATAAACACCTGAATAATATGAATAAACAGCAGTTGTTTAAACAAGTAACTTATACAACTGATCTGATTGAGAGTGTCAATAGGTACTCAATAATCCGCCATTGGGCATTCAATTTCACAATTCATTTAGCAGGGGAAGAAAAAACGATTAATAAAAAAATTGTATACAGTAGAATCCTCCATTTTGATGTTGAGTCATTGCCATGCTTAAGAACAATTCCTGTAGCGATGACATTCCTGTCCTTTTATTTTTAAACATTATTATTACAAGTATTTATTTAGAAATCGTCGGTGGTCACCAGACCGCATCTCACGATTTCTAAATAAATATCAATTAACGGTCACTAATCACCACACATTATTACAAGTGATAAGCCAAAGAGCTATTTCTTTTGTATAAATTACCATGAAATTGTTGAATACATAAAATTATTTCAAATTTCATCCTAATAACCCATAGTTTAGCAGTTTCCAATCATTTGGGTCTAGATACCATTAATTGCCAACTATTTGGTGGATAGAAACAAGAAGACAGTGAAAAACCAATATCACAACCCGCTTATTAAGATTGCTAAAAGTCTAAATGTGCCTGATAAACGGCCACCAAAATTATCAGAAACTGTTAAAAATTGGTCTTAATTTCATTTGTTTTTGTTTCTTTTCAGTCGGATAGCTTGTTGTCAGTTACAAGCACACACTTCAAATTAATTATCACCAAGTAAATATTAAATACCTCTGTCATACTTATAAACATATGGCAAAACAACAAGATTTCATAGTAATATGTTCATGATGCAATTCTCTCACTTGAGAACATAGGAACAAAAAGTAGGAAAAAGATACGCAACTTTTGTTGTATTTTCTGATTAGAATATTACAATCATGCGTACAAAAAGTGTAAAGTAAGTAAGCAATTTTTTTGTTGTATTTAACTGTGTATAAATTAAATTTTTGTTTTAATGAAACTTTTTGTTTCAAGGGTTAGATTTATTGACTTTTTTACTCATTCACGAGGATACATTAATGAAACCTGTTAATTTATGGCCTAATAGTTAATTTATTTGTTAATTCTTGTATCATAAGCCCTACCGATGAATTATATAAAATAATTATAAGTGTTCATGCATTATACGTATTATTGCAATATCATCATCTTTGAAAAATCTTTGAATAAAAATGTATACAAAAATTGGAATTACAATAAATAAACAGTTCGTTTATTTACTGACATAATAGCAAAACATTAAACATTTGATTTGATACCGTTTCTTCATGAACTGTGAACATTTTATTTGTCTGTCCTAACAAGCACAAGCTTGTAACTGAATGATAGTCAATAAATACCTACATTTTAGGTTTTAACTTTAGCTTAATTTGTAGGTTGTATTTATTTGATGTGAATAGCGTGATACATTCACACAAGCCTATGATTTTTAAGAATATTTGAAAAGGGTTTGAAAAGGGAAAAAATAGAAGTTTATCAGCAGTTCTTTGTTGAATGATGTTTCTTTGTCACCTAAGAAATACTTTATTTGTTCTTCTAATATAAACCCTATTGATATCATACTTCAAATAAATTATGTAAAATAAATTAATGAAATACTGATTTTTCCGAATTTTTAATTTTAGCAAAGCAGTTCCTCAAATGTGGGGAATATTTATTTTAAATGAAACAGCAAGATTTCTAATTAATATATTCATGTAATGCCATCACTTCTGAGAATATTTGAAGAAAAGTGTATGTAAAATGTGAGTAAATAAATAATTTATATGCACAGAATGTTTTTTTCCCGATTTTCAATGTTTTGGCTTAGATTGCAATTTCTCAAATGTGAGCATTTGAAATGAAACTGCAAGAATAAAAATAATATATGTATGCAATATCGTCCCTTTTGAAAACATTTTAACAAACGTGTGCATAAAATATGAGTTAACTAAGTTATTTATATGCAAAGAATGATGTTTCTCCTTGATTTTTGAATGTTTTGGCTTAGAGGACCTTACAGTTTCTCAAGTGGGCATTTTATTTGAAATAAAACAGCAAGTTTTCCAACTAATATATTTGTGCAATACCTTCACGTTTGAGAATGTTTGAATGAAATTTAACAAAAATTATGATTTAGATAAGCAATTTATATATTTGGAATATATTTTTTCCAGTGTTTGAATGTTTTAGGTAAGATAGCAATCTCTCAAATGTGGGGCATATTTTTTTGAAATTAATCTACAAGAAACCAAATATTGTATGAATGCAATATTGTCCCTTTTTCAACAAAAGTGTGCATACAATGTGAGTTAAATAAGCAATTTATATTCAGAGAATAATCTTTATCTCTGATTTTGAACGCTTTGGTTTAGGCTGCCAGTTTGTCAAATCTGGGACATATTAATTTGGAATTAAACTGCAAGATTTTCAAGTAATAATTCATGCAATACAATTTTGAGAATGTTTGAATGAAATTAAACAAAAGATTATGATTTATGATGAGATGGGAAGTTAAGTGTCCGAGTGGATCGAGATCAAGATAGCTCAAGTGGTAGAGCAGCGGCGTATCTAGCCGAAGGTCGTGGGTTCGAATCCTGCTCGTGAGAGTAACTTTTTTATCTCAACTAAAAACCATAATTAATTGAAAGATATTAATTAGTTAAGCGGACCACGAAAACTAGTGAATTATGATTTAGATGAGTAATTTATATGTGCAGAATATATTTTTTCCTTGTTTGAATGTTTTGGGCAAGATTGCAATTTCTCAAATGTGGGGCATATTTGTTTGAAATTAAACTGCAAGAATCCACATATTATATGCATGCAATATCGGCCCTTAAAAAAAAAAAAAAAAAAGTACGTAAAGTATGAGTTAAATTAAATAAGCAATTTATATGTTTGGAATATATTTTTTCCTTATGTTTGAATGTTTTAGCTTAGATTGCAATATCTCAAATGTGAGGAATATTTATTAGAAATTAAACTACAAGAATCCAAATATACGCATGCAATATCATCCCTTTTTAAACAAAAGTGTTCATAAAGTATGAGTTAAATAAGCAGTTTATAATCAGAGAAAAATATTTTCCCCTGATTTTTGTATGTTTTGGCTTAGAATGCCATACAGTTTCTCAAATCTGGAGCATATTTATTTGAAATTAAATTGTAAGCTTTTCAAGTAATATTTTCATGGGAAACCATCATTTTTGAGAATGTTTGAATGAACTTTAACAAAAAAAATTATGATTTAGATAAGTAATTTACATGTGCAGAATTTATTTTTCCTTATGAATGAATGTTTTAGCATAGATTGCAATTTCTCTAATGTGGGGCAATATTTGATGGATGCGAAATTCACGAAAATTATGCAATAGTGCAATATTTTTATTAAAAGAGTATAAAAGAAAAGTTATTTGTTCAATAATAAATCATAGGACATTTCGAATTAGTATGTGATCGGAAATTAGCTGACAATGGTGAAACGTCAGAAGTTGACCACTCGGACAGGTTATTGTATTTATATTTTAAATTACGTCCTTTCTTTGTTTTGTTTTTTGTTATTTTGCCTGGGCTTTTTTGGCAGCCACCTTTGTGTTGTAAATGTCGCAAAAATCGAAAATTTGCGCAAGATTGTAAAACCAATTATAAATAGAACACGTCGATAACACTCCGGGTAAATGATCGGCAGATGAACACGCGCTGTTGTGGTTCTTTTTTTTTCGAGGATGACAAAGCGAGACGGTACTGACCAAAATAATATGTTGACTAGGAGGAGGGCGAAGGCGCTCTCGGCCGGATCCTCCCACGTGACGATGTCCTGGGATTTGTAAAGCCAACGCTGGAAAGGGCGAAGCCGGACGGCGAGGACTTCTTCTTCGCTCGGAGCTTTCTTCTTTTCCTTTTTCCCCTCGAGGCCGAAGAGGCTTTTCAGACGGAACAGCTTTTTCAGATGATCCATATTGCGCGTGGCTGGGCTACGGTTTTTAAGACCCTTTCGGCTCGCTCGCCGTAAAACTTCCGATTCAGTTAGAAAAAGAAAAAAAATTAAAATTAAATAATTAAAAAAAAAGACGTAAAATAAAGAAACGACGCGAAGGCAGACTGCGGACTGTGAACGCCTGCGATGACGAGCGAACCTTCAGCTTTTATTTTTGCGCAACATATCACTGAACGAACAGCTGACTGGGTAAACAAATTCGAAGCGTACAACACAGCCCCCTCCACAAACAACACAGATCTATTTTCAATTGATTCTACACGATTACTGTAAAATGAGGAGGGATGAGCCGACGACCCGTCGTGTAACTTGTGAAACGCAAATCTTACAAAATTTTAATAAACAAGTGCGCATTGATGTTATTTTAAGAAGAAAAATATGTTGCCACAATTTATGGCGGCATCAAACCAACGTCGCAAGACGGAACGATGAAAACAGCATTTTTAATTTTTTTTCCATAAACCAACAATTTTTTAAAAATCAGTAATACATTAATTGACAACTGTCTAAACGTTCTGCCAAGTTTCGTGAAATTCCGTTTTAAATGGCAAGTGATTAAGTAAATTGGAATTCGTTGATCTTTCAGATGGTCAAATTAATATTCCTATCCTCCAAAATGTATTCTTTCCCCCTACGGAGTTCCTCAAGGTCCACTACTTGGGCCTTTCTTGTTTAAGCATTTTATAAATATGTCATTTTTTTATCAATTAAATTCAATATTTTAAAGCAAAATAACTGTATGAATAATATTACTACAGACTTAATTGGTTAATGTGTTTATAATTCCATTGGAATAAATACAAAAGTAAAAAAAATTAATCTAAGTGCATGCACAGTTTCAAATCACTCAAGTTTAACAAAATGCTCGGGAAAAAAGAAAATCTTCTGAGACAAATAATAAAAATAAAATTATGCAATTTATACTTAAAAAACAGGCAAATGTGTAAGTGTACCTTTCATTTCTAAGGTAAAAATAAAGTAAGCAGAGCAATTTTTAATGTACTACTACTATTTATTTTTACAATATGGTTTTTAAATTATCTTATTTTTCGATTATTTCATGTCAGAAATTAATGCAAAGCATGTTTGTTGGAATTAATCATCTACTTTGGTGTTATTTGCCAACCAGGATTAGTCCTTTATCTTGGCCATTCTGCCCACTGAAATTAATCTTAGGGCTATCAGCAGCTAGAATAATTTTAGCATTCGAAAAAACGCAGTTTTGAAAATTCAGTTAATTTTTTCTGTATGTATATTATTCACTCAAGTATGACTATTTATTCATATTTCTTCATCGTTCTGTACACAAACTGTACAACTAATCTGACTGAGTTAGTTAATAGGTACTCAATATTCCGCAATTGCGTATTCACTCGCACAGGTTGAAATTTAAAATTTTCAAAAACTGATCTATAATAACTTTCAAATGACGATCTACTGTGAAGAAGTTTCATACATTGGTGAACATAAAAATTCGATCGTTACAGATCAAATTATAGTTCATCACCCTGCAGACCTCAGAAAAAATCTCAGGATGACAATTCGAGCAAAAGATTTTTATTTCAATGAACTCTAAAATTGCACAGCTAGAATATAATTGAGTACAATAGGTTTATGTCTGAAAGAAAGTTGTAAAAAATTTATTTTTAATTGTTTTATAATCTCAGTATTTTTTAAACTAAAACACCAATTATTTTTTTGCTATATTTTTCAATTGCTATTCCACCTCTTTAATCCTGTTATTTAACTAGGAATTTGATTTAGCTCAAATGACAGCTTTGAAGAGGGGCTAGGGACTAAAATGCCTAAAATGCATAACGATTCAAATATACGACATAAAAATAATTGGTGATTTAGTTCACATTTAATACAAATTAAATTAATAAAAAAATTGAATTATCTTTACTCGAGTGTAGAAATTATTATTTTTTCGCCATAAATATATGGAATTAAGGATTCTACTTGAGATATTTGCTAGTAACCCAGGGGTGTTCATCTTATGTGTTAATGTATGAATTTTTTTGTGAAATTGCGTCACAAAATCCAACTAAAATCCAAAACCCGTAGCACGAACATGAACAGCATATAATTCATTTCTCTTTTTAAGGAAATGAAAGAACTGCAATCACCAAAATCTCCTCTAGGTACGCTTTAGAGACTAGTGGTGATTTTGTGGAGTAGAGCCTATGCCACATGCCCACTAGGGTCACCTGCAGTCCCAACGACGGTTTTATTTACTTGGAGAAGTCTTCACTAGCACTACCTTCTACGAAGACTATTTGACCATTCTCCATATGGAAATTGGCTGAAACTCCACGTTTTCAAAAAAATGGAACAAGAGGTCCTTAACATTATAATCGCTGTAGTAGTCGTACTACTTACACTCGGTTTGTAGTCCCATTGAAATTTGTTTTTGTTACCTAAATTTTAATATTTTTGTATACTTTCAGTCTTTTTTCTTATATACCGATGGGGTAAAACGACCAAAAGAACGGTTTTACTCACTGGAATCTCCGACAGTGGAAAAACGCTCATTTTTACCAGGCTGGTACAGAACAAATTTGTTCATACTCATACCTCAATCAAAGAAAATTCGGCAGAGTACACAACCACAAAGGTATAAAACTAATTAATATTCAGATGAAATCATTTTTGATGTATTAAAAAATAATAAAGGGCCAAACCAGCAAAACTTAGAATTCCCAAAAGATGCAAAAGAGCACACAGCTTATAGCTAACCTGTGAGGGCTTAAAAACATCGAGTTTTTTCAACAGTCACCTCATGAAGCTTCTTACAGGCAAGTTAAAAACGTGCTAATTTGCCTTATAGTTTTTTATGGGGGTTTGCAACAGCAGAGGTTAGCACCAGGGCCAAAACGCCCATTTTATGTTGGGGTGTATCAAGCGGCCCTGAGTTCAAATCCAGGCCTGTACTTTACAGTGATAAGTCTGCTATGTCAATACCTTAACCGTTGTGGCCACTGACACCTCTAAATCTCATAGTCTCTAGTGGATGTAAAATTCATTTATTTCATGAATTCATTAGTAGACATATCACCTGTGTGCTAAGTACACTTGGTGAAATTATTAGCAGTCATGTGATTATTCACAAGGTATGGTCTTGAAGAAGTAAGCAAATTCAGTTAGTTACAAGAGTTCGACCTATTTTATGGTCATCATCTGTACAAAACAATCTTAAATATGTCTACACGTTGACATATTTAATTTGTGTACAGGCGATCTCAAATTTCCTGGAAGACCGACTCAGTCCCAACATTGCCAAGGACTGTAAGCAAGATGATTATTCATGGATCACAATACGATCTGATTATTCACAACGGCACGGTACATGCATCGGGATCACCGATTTTAATGAAACTTTTGACAAGTTAGCCATAGCATATTGTAGATATAGAAATATATAATTTGTGAATGAACAATGTTGCAAAGTAGGTTGAAATTTTTTTTTTTGCAAGAAACCAAATTGATATTGGTTTTTCTTTGCACCCTCCAAAACACCTGAATGGTAGTATTTTGGAAAATCAAAACATAATTTTTTTGTCTCAAATTTTTCTCTTTACTGTATCGTTTCCCCCTCCAAATAAACAAGCAATTTCACTGATCTACCGGAAACTTTCTGGAGCTTATAACTTTATAAATGGCACATTATAAATTATAGATAAATTTATGTATAAATTTATAAATTATAATGGCATAATGGCACAAACCTCCATAAATCAATAAAATAAAACGTTTGAGAATTTTTATTATTTCAGCCTTATTTCTCTCTCTTATAGTGACATAACATTCACGAAGAAGAAATTCTGCTTTCCAATGTACGTTCTTTTATAAATATTGAATTTGGATAAAATCCAGAGGTGTTATAAATTTTTAAATGGAATTCTGAACATTCGTGTAAAAAAAATTGCCCCCCTCCCTGGTGAAACCAGCATAAAAATCTTATATTTTTGCTGTGATGAAAATTTGTAATTAAATTATTACAAATCGTTTTTCAATAAATATGTTTTTTTTTTAAATACTTTACTGGAAACGTCTTGCTTTTTCATAACTTTATATATATAATCTCATTTAATACAATCCTGCTTGTTATTTTCATATCAAACATAAAATTACAAGACAAATTGACTGGCATATAACAACCCTGAAATAGATGCAACAAGGCAGGAAAAATATTTTAAAAAATGACAACTTATGAATTACTTACAATCTATTTTTTTCTCATCTCTAAAGGCAAGAACTCAAGAACTGTCTTAATTTTTCGACAAAATATCAGCAAAAAAAGTTTCATTAAAATTGGTGATCCCTTGACCATAGTTTTGTCAGTATATACTGCAATATATTACAATAGTTCTTAAAGATATAGACCATTCGTCAGTCTTGAATCGTGGGAGGTTGGTGGCCGCAACGGTACCATCACTGTAAGGTAAAGGTCCCGGGTTCGAATCCAGCGGCCCTGCTTTCAAACCCGACATACTTGCAAATGGTTTTTTTTTTCAAAAACACCTGAACCCGAGGGTTGATGTAACTTCTGCTGTTGCGAACCCTCGTAAAAAAAAAAGGCATGAATACCCTTTATGCTACTATAAAAGCATCAAACTATGAAACTTGTTATTTTGAGCAGAATTAATTTGACCACTGAATTATTTAATTTGTATTGGCCAATTAGACCATTAGACATGAATTTCTTAATTTTATTAAAACTTTACATTTTTCATGATTTATGTTCTATATTTTGTTATAATTATACAAATTGTATTTTGTAACATTGTAATGTTAGCTGATTGTTGTTAGTTAAATATTAATATATTTATCCTATATATTTTCAGGATAGAACAGTCCAAATTGTTGACATTCCTGGGCATGAAAGGCTGAGGGGAAAGTTTTTAGAACAGTACAAAAAGAACGCTCGTGCATTTATTTATGTAATTGATTCACTTACCTTACAAAAGGATGTAAGAGATGTGGCAGAGTGGGTTTTTTAATATGCACTTTTTTAATTTAAGCCTTTTTGGAAAAATAACATTATTTATTGTTATAGCTATTTATACACACTTTTAACTGATGGCGAAACAGGAAAATGCAGAAATGTGCTAATTTTTTGCAATAAACAAGATCACGCGACTGCAAAAGGGATACCTGTTATTAAAGCCGTATTGGAAAAAGAACTGTAAGATCTAATTTTCTAACTTTACTTTATGTAAACAAGCTATTTATTTAATTTATTTCTTAAAAAGAAATACAGTAAGGACGACCAGAACACATTCCCTCCAGAGCACAGATGGGAGCGATTCAGGTGAAATTTACCTTGGCATCAAAGACCAGGAATTTGATTTTGCTCACCTCCTGCCAACAGTAGTCTCCTTTGCTGAAGGCTATGCCTTGAACAAAGATAATGAAGCAGCCAAGGCAAACCTCGAGCCTTTGATTGATTGGATTGGACAAATTTCTTAAATCGGACTGATTTTATTTATTGCATTTTCTAATTTTTTGTTACCTAGATAGTCCAATAAAGTTTTTTTTTAAATTAATTCTTCTTCAGTTCTTGATTCATCACTCTCAGACCACCACAATGTTCAACAAAATTTTGTTCATTAATGTCAATATCTCATACTTCCAAATTATTGCTAGTTAAGTTTTATTTTGGGTCATTGCTTACCCTTAATTTTTTTGTCTTTCTTACATTTTAATCCTTCTAATTTTGTTTAATGTTTCTCCAGCCAATCTTATAATGTTATGTGATATTACTGCAACTCTCTTTTCTTTATACAATTGCTAGTCTCTCTGTACTTCAGGGCCTCATCAATTGATTAATAAAATAACACGATAAAAACATAATAGTCTGGTCTTTTTAAAAATATAGTTCCTACTCACAGTTTGTTGTTTTGTACGATCCAGATTTCAAGCTTTTAGCTCATCATCAGGTTTCAAATTTACAACCACTCACTCGACATGAAAATCATCTACCTAGTGTACCTCTCTAGAGTATTCGATATTCATCAGGTAATTGGGAATGAGCCCCTGCATTCATGTAATAATAACATTCACACTATCCTAGAGTATTCGATATTCCTCGGGGTAATTGGGGATAAACCTTGCTATTCACGCTAATAAATAACATTCACACTACCTCAAGTACCGATATTCCTTGGGGTAATTGGGAATGAGCCTCTTCATTCACGCTAATAAATAACATTCACACTACCTCAAGTACCGATATTCCTTGGGGTAATTGGGAATGAGCCTCTTCATTCACGCTAATAACTAACATTCACACTATCCTAGAGTATTCGATATTCCTCGGGGTAATTGGGGATAATCCTTGATATTCATGCTAATAAATAACTTTTTATTAGGTTTCGTGGTCCGCTTGACCAATTAATATCTTTCAATTAATTAAGGTTTTTAGTTGAGATAAAAAAGTCAGTGTCACGAGCGGGATTTGAGCCCACGACCTTTGGCTAGATACACCACTACTCGAGCTATCGTAAATTCTTTTTGTTTCTTTATAGTACTACTTTTTCCTGTATACAATGATTTTTTTTTATATAAATACTTTGTAAGTTACATATTTTATAACTTCTATTGAGATGTCTTTTTGCTTCTCTACAATCTTTGTTGTACAGGTTTTTGTCTAGTACTAGCATTACTAATTACATTACAAATAAATATCTTTTGTATTAAGTTTGTTTTATAACAAGTTTCTTGCATAACTGAGCAATGTTTTATTAAGGTCTTTAACATCATCGTTTTATAGTACAATTAATTAAGATTTTAAGTTGAGATAAAAAAGTCAGTGTCACGAGCGGGATTCGAACCCACGATCTTCGGCTTGATACGCCACTGCTCTACCACTTGAGCTATCGTGGCCTCGATCCACTCGGATACCAACCTCCCATCTAAACCACACTTTTTGAATTTTCCATCCATTTTGAATTTAATAAGTTTTATAGTAAATTGTAGGATCTACTGATAATTTCGTTAAATTCCGTTAGTTTATCCTAACTTGGACGAGCTGTCGTATTTGATTTTTTAGTTAAAAAATAATTATTGGAAATAGATGTTAACAAATAGTTTGACATAGGAGAAATAAAACGTACTTCAGTCATCTTAGTATGACTTATGCTACATTTGTATAATTTAGATGTTTCTTTCATTCCAGAAGATTCTTCATTCATTTTTTTATAACATTACCACTTGTTCTTATAACAACCACAGAGTTAGGTGAGTTGCATTATCGAAATAGATCTGTATAATTTGTATAGTATGTTTTATTATTATAACAATAACTAAATATAATTCAAGAAAAAATATTTAAAAATCATTTACAGACTTTTTCTATAACTTAAATTTATACATAATTTGACTTGCGACTTACACTTAGTGTAAATATTATTAATTATAACAAAATTCAAGGCCTCTTGAACGTATACCAGGAATAAGCAAAGGCACTATTGTCATCATCCATAAAATAACAATAAGTAATATAATTTACAATAAACTGGTGAATTGGAAGAGAAATAATCTATTCTACCACAACCTTCTTTTCATTAAAGAAACAATATTTTAATACACGTTAGTAGAATTAAAGCTTTTTTTTATACAAATGATAAAACTAATAAATTCAAGTTGTGGTTTTAAGCACTTAATTTGCATTTCATTGTTTAAGCCAATTTTGTTTGTTCACACATTTCACCAGATGAGATTTTCACTTATTTCATGATAATACTTAAAATTTACATTTTGTTCACTCATATATTAAACCAGTCCTCTTGGTTAAAATCAGTGTATCCATAATTAGAAAATAAAATGGCAATAAATTGAACAATTTCAATTTCGAATCAGTCTTGATATGGAACACAATAAGCTTGTTAAATATTAAACTTGATAATTCACAAACTATTTAACAAAATGATTTTATAAACATTCAATAAATGATATTTAAGTAGATAATAATATATGGCTTATGACTACATTTTCACTTTCAGTTAAAATTGCTGTTCTGATTGTAAAAATATATGCAAATTTGAAAAATTTAAAGGGTATCCACGATTATAATCTTTTGCCAATATACATTAAAATGTTGTTTAATTAAACATTACTGCTCTATTTCCTGGAGCAGCTACATCTTAATATTCTTGAAAACTAATCAGGAACTAAGCCTCAATGAGGCTGCAAATAACATTAACATGAGACCAACGTTGCATCTCTCATAATAAAATGCCTTGTTAATGTCATGAAAAAAAAGAAGGTGAAATAAGTGTAATCCTCGTTATATATATAAAAAAAAAATTAGGCCATACTTTGGAAGTCAAAAGATTGGTAAATGTATTAATAAAAATATAAATAAATAATCTTATATATGAAAAATTTAAATTTTAAAGCCTGATTCTTAATGGTAGGATTTTTAAGTACACTTTCATACTTAAAATTTCAAAAAAAAAAGGCACATGATCTGCTAGAAAAACAGAAAAACTATCACAATCTAGTTTTTTACAAAATTATGAAAAATACTTTGATATTTTAAGTACAATAAAATACATATGTGCCTTTTTTTCCAATATAAAAACACTTATTCACCTTCAATAATCCATATTATCGTCAGAGGTGAGCCTTTCTTTCTGCTCTATAACTTTACCACTGATCTTATTATTAGGACGGCTCCTTTTGAAAAATCCACATTTACAAAGGCAGAGTACAAAAAGAAGTAGAAGCAAGATTCCGGTGACAACGCCTACAAGTATCATCCACCATTCGATAACATCAGACCCCTGCTGCTTCAATGAATGTCCTATTGCAACAGTTACAATCTAAAAAGTAAAGAAAGTTATGTAATTATTATTACTGGTCAAATCATCAAAACAAGTTCAACACAAAATTTTGGTCTTGAAAATTCTTTAAAGCATTACACAGTAAAAGTTATGTTAGAGGTTTGTGATTTTTAAATAAACTTTTTTAAATAAAAATCCAATAAGTGGTACAGACCAGGAGTTGGCTGGCAATTAACAGACTTGTTCAATGGGCTAAATTTAATTTTACAGCTACTTACTACCAGTTAGAAATTTTAATTAATTATTTATTGTTTGAAGTTTTTTCGGAGGATCTACGGAAGAGGTCAACACAGAGAAAAACTTCCTTTCGGTTTTCGCCGAGCTTTCAACAGTTCTTATACTGTCATCTTCAGGGCTTAAACCTTAATGGGGAAATAAAAAGACATGGTGTTTTGAGCACAGAAGTACATTACGTTTTTTTTTTTTTTTTTTTTTTTTTTGGTGCTCAGCATCTGTTTTATTAGATCCATCGTCAATGTTCTGTTGCAAACCGCACTATCCATGACTTAAATGTTCCCTTTTTAAATGAAGTTGCAAACTTCAGCGGCAAAACATTCCACACTAACATCCAATCCCACTTTAATCTTCATATACAACTTTCCCCCTGATCTCTCCCAAAATCCTCCTCTGTTTTAGTGGATTTAAAGATAGTGACTTGGTTTCAGAGAGTGCGTGTGATTAAGTGATGGATTTCTTATTTAGGAGAGTTCACTGGATAGCTTCTCCACTTCGTCTTTTAGTGTTTAGCTACCAAATACCGAAAGTAGGGATGCCTTGTATTCATACAGGAAGTTGAAAACATTGTCTTTCAAAATTAAAATTTCCACTCGCACTTTGTATTTCAGATCTTTCAGAATAAATTTAGTTCTGAGTCTGTCTGTGGTCAATTCCTTGTAGCCGGCAAAACTCCAAAACCATGAGACCAAGTTTTATTAAATTTTCAGAGATTGTGCTGGTTGGTTTCGAGATTGCTCCTTATGAATTTCATCTCAATCGGATCAATGGTATCTCCTGAACATGTGCAAACATAAAATCCCACACAGAGCCGTATCTCTGAAACCATTTAAATGAATTTTGGTGAAATTTTCAGGTATTATGCAAGTTAGTTTCCAGATAGTCCTCTATGAATTTCATCTAAATCATATCAACGGTATCGCCTGCACATGTTCAAACTTCCACAACTACATCTCTAAAACCAGTTGCTAGATTCACATGTAATTTTCAGGGATTATGCGGGTTGCTTTCTAAATTATCCCCTATGAATTTTATTGCAAATGGATTAACATATGCGCATGTTCATGCACAAAATGTGAGGAAGCCCACCCACTTGGCAGATGTTTTTCCTTTTATTTTGTACTTGCTTGTTACCTATATACTTTGTTGTGCTTGAATTTTTTTTTTTTTTTTTTTTTTTTTTTTTTTTTTTGAATTTTTTTTTTTTTTTTTTTTTTTTTTTTTTGGTGGGGCAAAGTTAATAATACTGATAAAGTAACAAAAGAGTGTTGGAAGGCAATTGGATCGAGCTAAAGCCCATTGGTAGGGTGAGTTAGCGACAAGTGAAAAGAATAAAGCATTTCACAGCCTGCAAAGTGGGCTCTGGATTTGAAATTTGGAAGAAAGAAGGCAAAGGGCCAGACTGCGAGAGGCGGCAGCTGGAAGAATGCTCAATATTCAATTATTTTCCTGCATAAAATTTTCTTCCAACTATCTCCTACCACTTGTCTCTCTCAGTAAGTCCCCCCTTCTCCACTGAGCTACTAATGTAGCAGCATCAGTCAGGAAGGCGTAACAGCTTCGTGCAGATTTTTGCCCAAAATTATTCAATAAAAAAAAGTAGTTTTATATATTTAGTTTTACAGACTTTCTTTTATCTAAAAAAAGAAAATTTTTGTTATATTTGGTATTGAAATGACATATTAAAAAGTAATTACTTATAGGTGAAATAGGGCCCATACAAGGCCTAGTAACATGAGGTACTTAAGTAGAATAATTTGTGGTGAGACTACAATACTAAATGCGTTTCAAAAGTATTGTTCATCATTCCTTTGAATGATTATTCGGAAATCATGAGATGCGGTCTGGTGTGGCGTAGGTTTCAGAAAAACATTTTCTTTATCATGCCAATGTTTTTCTGAAACTTATCTCACGATTTCCAAACAATCATCGACTAACGGTCCTTTGAATATTAGATTTACCTGTGCTTCAGTATCAGTGCTTTTTGATGTTATTGTAATCCCGTGCTGCTTAACGTAAAGCTTTGCAAATGAAGCGATCTCTACAGATTTCACATTTGGATAATCTTCAACAAGTGTACTGTTCCAAAGTCTGAAAATTTAAATAGTTTAATTACGTACTTTTTATATCTTAACATTTTAATAAATACTATAAAAGTTTTAATAAATGCCTACCTGGACATAACAGTTACAACTGCTGACTGTTTAGCCAATAATTTGTAGACGATACAGTGAAAACGGTAGCAAAAAGCTGTCTTATTTCTGCAGTTCTTTGAATTAAAAAATTAAACATTAAAAATAAATACGTAAATGTAACTAGTTTAAAACTTTACCATTCTAACAACATTGTCAGGGTCTTTTTTAACAACCATTTCAATATCTCGCTTGTATCTGAACTTCTCAGTGTGATTCCGCCTCTGTCGAGTCTGTAGTGTATTTCTATCTTTAAGTTTAAGAGGATTGACTTGTTCAGGAGTTGTATAGCACACGCCCCCTTCTTCTGCTTCTATTGTTGGTTCTTCATCCATATACAGAAGCCATTTTCCTCTAGGTTTATTGTTTGCAACTTGGAAAGGCCATTCAACATGAATTTCAACATTATTGACGTGTGAGGGGCCATTATTAACAACTTCATAAGTGTGCCTTATCCTCATTCCCGTTTGATCCTTATACTCCATTTCAGACTCGCCCCTAACAGTACCATGATAGAGGACCTCCTGCTGCCTGGTCGAGCCTTTAAGTGTCAGTTCCGCTTTACGAACAATCACAGCCATCAACTTGACGGTCCCTTGAGAGTCTTCTAATTTGCTCGTTGTGTTTGCATATAGATTGAACTCCACTTGTGACATTTCATCTATTATAGACAACGGTTCAAACCGTAAAATGATGTTCACCATCGCATTACTCTCTAAAGGGTTTCCCAAAGCACATACAACCTCAGTTTCATTCACTCTTGTGCAAGATGCTGTGCCCCCCTAAACATAAAAATTTACTCCAAGCTACTTTTTTTTAGTTTTCTAAATATTTAAAAATAATTAAATTCACTAATTTTGTGGTCCACTTGACCAATTAATATATTACAATTAATTAAGGTTTTTAGTTGAGATAAAAAAGTCAATGGCACGAGCGGGATTCGAACCCACGATCTTCGGCCAGATACACCGCTGCTCTACCACTTGAGCTATCGTGACCTCGATCCACTCGGACACTAACTTCCCATCTCAACCCCACCTTTTTGGCAAATGGCAAAAAATGGCAAAAAGGAGGGAAAATTCAAAAGGTGGGGTTGAGATGGGAAGTTAGTGTCCGAGTGGATCGAGGTCACGATAGCTCAAGTGGTAGAGCAGCGGCGTATCTAACAAAAGATCGTGGGTTCAAATCCCGCTCGTGCCTTGACTTGTTTATCTCAACTAAAAACCTTAATTATTTTTAAAATTATTAATTTTTCTAACCTGTTGTGCAACATAGCTGAGACTTGGCGAATGATTAACAATCAAAAACGCCTCATATGCGCTCTCCTTCAGATTATGAACCGTTGTATTGACAACAACCTCTTTATACTCACCCAAAGGCAAATCCCATGTGCCTCCCAATTCTGAAAAGCAGAAACAATATAATCAACATTTAATATGGTCTATAATTTCCTTCGTAACACCTTCAAGCAAATTGATAACATCAACTCACTTGATTTTGGAAGTAATAATGCCGAATCGATTTGAAGTTGGCTTTCACAAATGTCATTGTCACCACAGTCTTTGAGAAAAGTTGCTTGAAATATTTTATCTGATTGTTGCTTGTTCAAGATAGGGTAATTGGACATCGACTGAAAACTGGCATCTTCATTGTACACCGGTGGTTCTTTTTGTATTAAGCTGTAGCTGAGCCTTAACGAGATTGGGCTTTGAATATCTTTTGTATCTTCCTGAGTGTATAATACAGTTCAAAAATAAAATTATTTGGATATTAATATAAAAATGGTTATAAATTACCTTCAGAAATACTATGTCTTCATGGCAGGTACTATAATACGTCAAATTATGTCTTGAAAGTGCAATTATTTCATTTTTTTTATGTGGCTTTGATTTCAAATCATTACCAATGAAAACTCTCGGAAATCTGTTTGTCACGTCTCCTTGTAAGACATAGTTGAGTTCTAATTTAGAGTCTATAGATGATATTTTACCTTTTCCAAGACCGTGGATAGATACACAGGCATGAAACTTAAAACTGGGGGGAAAAATGTATTTTATAGTGACTATTCCACATGTCTTTAAAAATACTTGCTTAATTACCATGCCAAATTTATATCTGGATAATCAGCACAATATTTACTTGTTGGATCAATATTTCTGATTGCCGATTCAGATTTAAGCATTGTTGTTATTTCAATAATCGGCCTTGTTCGAAGTAGTATGACTTGACTTGATTCAAAAGCACCAATTAATAAATCGGGATAGTCATTATGATCGACATCAACCCCACCGTTCAGGCTGTACCCAAAAGATTTGGATTTGTAATCTGACCCAGAAATTACCTGCATGAAATTAAAAATAAATTAAACTTTAAATCTGAATGAAAGTTTGATTTAATTACCTGTGACGGTTCCGGAAGCGTCCCATTCGGTGATCCCAAGAATATATAAACAACACCATCGTTTTCATAAGGTGCACCGACAGCGATGTCATCACAGCCATCTTTATTAATATCACCTAGATTTGTAATAGATATTCCAAACCTTGATTCATGCTGTCCTGTTATTTTTATCGGTTCTTCACACTGTAAACTGCAGTCATTCTGGTGATTGATGTAAATGTAGATCGCACCTCCATGATGTTTATCAAAATAATTTGGTGCACCAACAATTAAATCTGGTAGCCTGGAATAAATTTACCAAAAAACAAATAAAGTTTTTTCTATTATTATTGTATTTTATTTATGTATTCATATATGTTTTGTTTATACACTTAAGGACAAAAACAGGACACTTGTATGTTTTGTTGATTTCCAACTGTATGTATATTAATTACATGTACACAATATTGATTTTAATATAAACCAAATTAAACAAAATCAGGAATTCAAAAGTTTTAATAAACAATTTTGATATGCTTGAAAGAAAATTCAACAAAACACCGGAAAATCATTTAGTGAAAGAATAAATTTAAATAATTTATTACCTAGTTTTGCGCTTAATAACGCTTATTACCGCCCGAGGTCTCACGGAGGGCCTTAAGCCTCCTAGGCATCAAGTAAATAATTGATCGGATTTTGTCTTATGAAACATAATCCCATTTTTCAACAAGAAAGGTTCAATGATGTCTAATCCGTCTCTTTATCATGTCCCATAAGAGTTCTATGGGATGCATGTCAGGAGTGCTGGTCAATTCATTGTGTTAGGATTTTGATTGAGCATTATCATGTATTAACACAACGTCCCCTATAAACAGGACCACAGTTTCCAGAAGAACTTTCTCAATGTGCCTTAGTACAGTCACAGATACATTCTGTATGATAATCAGTTCGGTACAGGCATGGATGTCGATTCTACCCCATCCCATAACTGATGCATCTTTGAAAACGCTATGACTCACGTTTGGCACATGGAGCAAAGTTCTCCACATTTGCTCCATGCACATGGTCCCAATCATCTAATTGCAAGAAACTCCAACACGCATCTGTGAAGAGAACAGCCCCTGTGAATAGTCACCTTTCTACTTGATACCTCTCTAATAGTAGTGAACCTATGCAGGATGTCGAGACGGCTATTCTCACAAGCCTTCTGATGACTGTTTTAACAGACCATTTATAGTTGACTACCAAGGAAGCCCCGTTAAATAATGGTTCCATAGTGCAGTAAGAGCAATAAAACTACTGTATCTAGCCGTCGTACATCACAGTTGACTACTACCTTCGCTTTGATCAAGAGAGAGTGGCACTAAACTGCTGCAGACCATCATGGATGGTAGAGCATGGCACACCTGGACCTAGGCTATGCAACAGATGCTATGTGCATCGTTGGCCAAAGCATCTGCCCCGGGCTAGATCTTCTTGACTTAAAACCATGTTTTAAGACAATTTTGTTCGGCTTAAATTTATCATTTCATCAAAGAAAGCAATTTAAAAAAAAAATTGATTTGACAAGTATGCTGGCTCTGGAAAGGACAAATTTAACTGACTTTCTTTATAGCACTATAAAGCAAGTCATTAATGTTGTTTAATTTTTAAGTCAACTATTAATATTTATACTTAGTTATGATGGAAAATAAATAAATATGTGTCCATTTCCCCCTCCCCTTTGAGTGTATAAAAAGCAAGTATATCAACTCTCTCACCATTAGCCATGCCGTATACTTTGTATATTATTAATGAATCATTCAAATACAAAACCAATTACAGTACCTTATTTTTTAAAAAGTTCTATTAATTCTTTTTTTCAAAATAAAAAAGATTTGAGAAAAATGAGGTTGTTTTTGAGTTTTAATCACAAATGTCTTATACTCTATTTTCTTTTTGTTATTAGATTGTTTAAAGATCAGGAGATCTAGTCTGGTGTGATATAGGTTAGAAAAACATTTTCATTTTGGGATCAACTTTCGATCTTTATTGAGAACATATTCAGGGCCTGGGATTTATAAACATTGTTTAAATTATACAAATACGTATAAGATATTAAATATGAATTTATACAATGACATACACAACTTTTAGGTTTAATCAAAGTATTTGTATGTGTACATCATTGTATAAATTCACATAATAAAATGTTTTTCTGGCCACCAGGCAGTATCACATGATTTTTAATTATCATTAATTAAGGTCGCTAAATATTACACATTTGCTATTAGAATTGTTTTCAATTTGAAAAAAAAAAATTAAACAAAGTCAGAAAAGTTTACACACCTGTCTCCATTAACATCAGCAGTACAGAGTTCATAACCAAAATTGGAAGTGATAATCTCACCAGACAGGATCATTCGAGTTGTCATTGAGATCACAGCATTTTTTCTTGAAAAAATTACAACTTGGCCTGTTCCATTTGACCTAGGAGCTCCTGCAGCGTATGCAATACCTTCTCCAAAGTAATCGCCAGCAGTAACTGCCATGCCTGTTGAAACGTTTATTATTAACTAATTTCGAACAAATCATTAAATAACTTTTTTTCACATGCCTAAATAACTGTATTTATCAACTGGTGAATTATCTTCAAAGTGAGGGGTATAATAGATGGTTTTGTCTCTATACAAAAAACTATCAGCGATACTGGAAACAAACACAGTGCCTCGCCAAGTATAAGGTCCTGGAGATCCAAAAATAGCCGTGTCATTAATTAACATCAAACTTGTTCCAACTTGGCAATACGCATACTGTTCATGTTCCCTGGAAATTCAACAATTATAATAATATAAGATTATACAAAGTTTACAAATAATAATTCAATGTAAAAACCTTTCAGTTGGTCGTCCCTTACAAGGATTTACTAATACTTCAATTGTCAAGTCTGAATAGAGGGTATAACAGTGTCCTTTTCCATGTCTTAGACCATCATACTTCGTTATATAACGATGGGCACATACCTGTAATTTTTATATTAGCAAAAGCAATTGATTAAAAATAAATTCCGTCTTAAAACTAACCATGACTTTTTTCCCTTTTCCTAAACTTCGAACTGTAACACCAAGCCACTGGCCTTCTTTAATTTCAAACTCACTGGGAGGAACTGGATGAAGATCGTCAACATCTAAAGAAACATCATTTGTTATTAATTAAATCAAAATAAATTAATTAAAAAATCAACCCCAAAGCACAATACATTGTATAATTAAATAAAATGAATGCAAAACACTATATACATTAATGTAAAATGATAAATTATATTTACATCTTTTGAACATTATTGCAGATTTTTTCACGGAATTATAAAATAGTACATTTTTATAAAATTTTGAAATAATTGTAAGTTATTTTTACAGACAAAAGGTAAATACTATCTTTTTAGTCCAACAGAAGTAGCAATGATTGGAGAAAACCAAATGCAGAATTTAACTCCAAAAATCTCTAGCTTTTAAAGACAATAATGTATGATACAATGTTATATGGTTTATTCATACATTTTAAAGAATTTAAAAGATAGGACTACAAAATTGACTTTTCAAGCCTATCATAATAATGAGCACAAACATATTGGGATCAGGAATGGCTGTTACATAACTGCAGAAAATTATAGATACTCCACCGCAATAGCTTTATGTTTTTCATGTTAGCCAGTTCGTCGATGAATAACAAATGAACATAATATTTTATGGGGGAGGGGCGGGTTAGAAATTCTAGGAGCAACAGTGGGAACCAAACCCACCATCGAGGGTGTTTGAGCCAAGAGTACACCTTGACTAACATATATAAAGATCGGTAATAAAAAAACAAAAGGGCTTTTTTTATGAGCCACACAATTGTGGCATGTTACCTTGTATAAATTAGTTTCGAGTTCAATTATAAAGTCTTATCTTACATTCTGAAGAAAGCTAAATAATAAAAATAAACAATTTTAAAGAAAAGGATGTTTTCTGTTTTGTTTTTTAAGTTGTTTTTGTTGTAGTTGTATATGTGCATTAAAAAAATAAAATGTTCTTTGGACGGAAATTCTTGCAATAGCCAACTCACAGCTAAAATCCAAAATTATTTGACAACTTTATGCTTTATGAAAATATCATATTTAATTAAAAATAAGCATAATCTTATTTAATTCAAACTCCAAATGACTTTGGTGATGAAAAACTGCATGACTTTCCAATGTTTCAAGATTAGATAACAAAACATCACCCGTTATAATTCAATCACTCCATTTTAAAACCATGCATTGACATTGAAAACAAATATAAATTAATATAATCGTTTTTTGTTCACAAAATGCTCATTGGAAAAAAAAAATCATGAAATTTGTGCTGAATGATTAACAATGATTTGTGTACAAATTCACGTTTAATGTGTGGACATGCTTTTGATTGTGCCAATAAAAATAATGAGAATGGATCAATCGTATTTTGTTACGAGCTTACGAGCAGTAGCACATGCTTAAGATGACTTGAGTATGCAAAAATGAATGCACACATGCATTAACAAAACTTGCACACTTCAAACATTTGTCAACAACTTACCATAGTCAAAACTTTCGCCTTCCTCTGTAGAAAAATCACATAATCTAAATTATTAGTCGATAGAAAATAAATAGTAAAAAACACAATTTTATAAATAAATGTGTTATAATTTTTTTTAAAAATTGATATTTAATCTTAAATGTTCAAATAAAAAGAAATTGAAATGAAATAATTAAACACGCTAAACGAAACATTTCAGAACTTCACATCATAATAAAATTAATTAAAAGGCAAAATTGTACTCCCACCACCCTTTTTATCATTTTCCAATTAAACAAATTTGCATTATAGTCCCAATTGTTTAAGGTAAATAACATTCTTCCGGAGCAAGGGTTAAACAAACACCAAAGACCCCTGGAAGTATTTAATAATATTTATTCTTTTACCAATAATTCCATCTGTATAGACTTGAGAGCAGTCATTTTGTTTGTTTGTCAATGGACATTGCCACAAGGCACCAGACCTGTTCGTCTGAGGTTGAAGATTTTTGTCCAAAGGGGCCCCAACCAACAATCTGAAAGAGATAAATTGGTATGAAATAAATTAGATTTTTTTTTTTTTGTAAGAATTTATATTTTCAAAGCATCCAATTGATTCAATCATTTGTGTATAAAAAAAGTTGCTTTAATTATGACAAAATTTTGACAAGTACTTTTTAAATTTATTCTTTAAAAAATACACAAAAAACTTTGATGGGTTTTATTTTTTAAAATAAAAATTAAACCCAGACCAATGCATTTTAATTTAATCATGCATTATTCAGAAATCGTGTGATATAAGTTTCAGAAAAACATTTTTTTTTTATCGTGCCAACGTTATCTTTATTGAGAAGATGATCTCAATAAAGATCGAAACGTTGGCATGACAAAAAAAAAGAAAATGTTTTTCTGAAACCTACATCACACCAGACCACATTTCATGATTTCTGAATAATTATCGATTAAAGGTCACTAATCACCACACAATTAATGTTACAGTTCAAAAATAATGTTACTTTATATATATGTATTCAACCAGTTTCAATGTTATTTTTTTACAGTAAATTTATCTAATTTGTAATTGTATATAAACAAAATTTTTGGAACTTCAATTTTGCCAAATATTTTGTTAACAGAAGATCTTAATGTTTTCAAGGTTTGACAAGTGAACTAGTGTATTGTTGTCTGTACTATCTGCGTAATTATTCCTAAACAAAGGAAGTCTCAATATCTAATCCAACTGATAACATCATAATAGACATCAAGTTGGTTCTAAAAATATTTTATCAAATGTTTACAGATAGATAATATTTTTTTATTGGTAAACTGTCATAATAATGTGTTATAACTCTATGTATTTTTCTTTTAAAAAAAGCATTATTTTGAATTTTTTTCTGAAATGTAGGTAATAAAATTATTGATTACCATTTATTTTTAACATTCTCACAACTTATTTATTTAGTTTATTTTTTATTTTGTACTTGTGCAACAAACATTGACATTTTTGACCTAAAAGTTTTATAAATGCAAAAAAAAATTAGCTTTGATTATGAACAAGCCACAAAATAACAAGAGAATATAACTTTTTAATAGATAAAACACGAACAGAATACATAATATTTGTTTATTTATTTATATAAATACTACTTTGATAGCTACAATGTTTAAAGTTCTTCAGCAATTGTGTGCATATATGCTAATATTTTAGGGGTGAAAGTGAAGGCTATTTTTAACCAAAATATCTTACTTTTAGATTTTTTTATGTATCATACTTGCTCCTTCTTAAAGGGCCAATTTTTACCGAGGTAAGCACACCATACCAGTTTTAATACTTTCAACCTTTTTATCTCCAAAAACTAAAACAAACTTTTCTAACATAATTTAGATTAACATGCTGACATTTAGACAACAACAATAATATATAATATATTAACATTTAGATTTTGCTAAATTCCATTAATTCTTTTATGTTATGAAATAATTTAAACAACTTAACAGTATTTTATCTTGTATCAGCTAGTGTTTTTTTAATTTAATGACTGAAAATTATGTATAAATTGTTTTTGACATATTTATTATTTTATGCTGGGCTTATTAATGTATTAATTCTTTATGTGTCATTTACACACCTAACTATATCATCAAAAACAATTCACATCTACATAATTTACTAATAGAATCTAAAATTTTTGGAATATCTGACCTTAAATTCGTTTTTTTTTTAACAAATAAGAAAATCTATGACATCTCATATCTATATTTTTTAAGTGATATATTACATAATATTTATTTGGTTCTATTACGAAATATAAATATGAAATAATTTTATTTACTTAAAAACTATTTTGAAAGCTACTAAGTTTAAAAGTTTTGGACAGTTTATGTGCATATCCACTTAATACACAGACACGAAATTTTAGTTGTTGATTTTTTGCCATTTAAAAATCAATGATGTAAACAATTAACAGTATTTTATATTCTATCTCTGAGCTAGTGGATTTTAATTTAATAAACAAAAATTATACAGGATATGATTTATTATTTTATGATATGTTTATTAAGGATTTAATTGTTTAGTTTATATATTGTACATACTCCTAACTATAACATCTCATATTGTATTTGTGTTCAAATATTGCAGGATATTTGGATCTATTAATAAAAAAAAAGTTATGAAATATTTTATTTTATCCTTTCATTATATATTATATTTCATATTTCATTTGTTTACTTAAATACTATTTGACAGCTCAAAGTTTAAAGGGTTTGGGCAGTTATGTGCAATCCGCTCAATACGCTGACTATACAAAATTTCAAGTTGTTGAGATTTTGCTGATTTAAAATCAATAATATAAACAATTTAACCGTATTTTATCTTATATCTTTCAGTTAATGCTTTTTAATTTAATTTAATGGCCAAAAATTATTCAAAAATTGTACATCGATACATTTATTATTTTATGCCATATTTATAATGCTTTAATCTTCAGTGTTATGTTTATTTTTTTTTATTTTCATACCTAACTATAACTATTATGTTATATTTCGTTCCATTAGTAAATACAAATATAAAATGTTTTTATTTACTTAAATACTATTTTGACAGGTACAAAGTTTAAAGGTTTTGGGCAGTTGAGTGCATACATGTTTAATACAGCGACAGATAAAATTTTAAATTTTGAGGTTTTGCCATTTTAAAATCAATGGATCAATTTAACTGTATTTTATCTTTTATCTTTCAGCAAGTGACTTTTAAAATGTAATGCCCAACAAAACACATGAATTGTTCTAATTTTATCCTATGTTTATTTTAATTATTTAGTTTGTCATTTATTTAGTTATATTTATTTTTTTAAAGGTATAAATAGGGCTTTAAGCCCCCTTACATACTTTATCAATAAATTTAGTTGAATAACTTAGTAAAATAATAATAATTTCAATAATAATAATAGTTATAACCCATATATCTTAGCAATTTACAAATATCTCTATGAAATCAGAACACTTAACACTTCGTTTGGGTTCCTAGTCATGTCGGCATTTCTGGAAATGAAAAAGCTGATCAACATGCAAGGAACGCTGCAAACCATCCACAAAGAACAGATCAATTTCCTCTCCGTCCAGATGATATAGTCGTTTATGTTAAAAACATTATCAAACGAAAGTGGGCGGCAAGATGGAATGTCTGTAGAGATAGTATGAAAGAAATTAAGCCAGTTGTACATAAATGGCCAACTGAGGAACTTGAGAGGAAAGAACTTGTGATTCTCTCTAGATTGCGAATAGGTCACATCAGGTTAATCCATAATAGGCTTTTAATATGCAACAACCTTACAACTTGTCCTCAATGTACGCGAAGAGGAGAACGTATCATTCTGACAGTAAAACATATTTTGGTCGACTGTCCCACTTTACAACCCTTTAGGCAAAGGCTCAACCTTTCGAGTGATTTACAGGAGTTACCCCAATGTTTCTTTCGAAGAGCACTTTTCAGCTTTCTCAAATTTATTGGAATTTATAAAGAGATTTAGGCCTTTTCCCAAATTGTTATACCATTGAATGCCTGCTATGTTTGAATGAGAGTTGTGCATGCAAGATTTCTTTTTTCAGAAGTTTTTGAGGCTACCGGAGCGGAAAAATGAAATGGAAGAAAATACAAATTGCGGGGTAATAAATTGCAATGCTCAAAATGTGTTTTGTTTCTTATTATTGTTATGTAGAATTAGTTTATGTATCATATTTGAATGGAAGAATAAAAGGATAAGGATGAGCCTATACTCATGCTGAGACTGTTGCTAGTCTGACTCCATTATTATTATTATTATTATTAGCCATACAAGCCTATGGGAAATGTTTAAATTATGGAACAAAAATTCACAATTCGAATTAAAAAAATAGAAATAAATAAAAATAAAATTAAAATAAATAAATAAATTTTATATGTAATTTAAAATGGGATTTTTGCATACATTTGGCCTTCCAAATTAAGAATTTTAAAAAAGAAAAATTAAAGCTTGGATGGCAATAGGATAAATAAGTTTACGAGTGAATGTTTGGAGTCAGAGCTTTATAGCACTCAGAAGGGATATAGCTAACCTAAGATAGAAGGTTTGGACGTTAGGGCGTGAAATGACCTTAGCCGTTAAAACGCCCTTAAAAATTAATAATAATAATAATAATAATATTAGTTATAGATTAGATTATGAGTGAATGTTTGAAGTCAGAGCTTTATGGCGCTCAGAAGGAATATAGCTAATTTAAGGTAGAAGTTTTAAATGTATCAGTTAGGGCATGAAATTACCTTAGCTGATAAAACGCCCTTAAAAATTAATAATAATAATAGTTGATGGATATTGAGAACATTTATTTGATTTAATTTTAAAAATGTATATTAAAACTGTAAGTTTATCACTTCTTAAAAGTTAAGGTTGCTGAAGATGTTAAAACAGGAAGAAATATGATCCCTTGGTTTAAGATCATAACAGTATCTAGTGCAGGATCGATAAGCAATTTGAAGGCAATGAGCAGATTGAGAGTCTACGGAAAGTGAAAAAATAGTGCTACAAATTTAGGAATTATAATTAATTAAGGTTTTTAGTTGAGATGAAAAAAAGTTAATGGCACGAGAGGGATTCGAACCCACGACCTTCAACTAGATACGCCGCTGCTCTACCACCTGAGCTATCGTAGAGCAGCGGCGTATCTAGTCGAAGGTCGTGGGTTCGAATCCCTCTCGTGCCATTAACTTTTTTTCATCTCAACTAAAAACCTTAATTAATTGTAAAGTATTAATTGGTCAAGCGGACCACGAAATTAGTGAATTTAGGAATTATTAGGGATTTAATAAAAACTCTTGTTTTCTGTGGAGTGAAAAGGCTAAAGCGTCAAAGAGGGTGGAAGCTTGAGTGGGCCTTTTTAACAATAGAGTGCACATGGCCACGCCATGTAAGCTTGGAGTTAAAAATGACACTAAGATTTTTGGACTAAAATTAATAGGAGATCTTTACTAATAGGTTTATTGAAAATAAATAAGGATGGGATATGTTATGATCTAAAAAAATGAAAATTAGTCAATTTCTTGACCACTGATTGAGAGAATGACGAGCACAATTGACAAGAGAGATAGTTCCAGAGATGTTCCTTGTAGTACATTGAATGTAAAGCTGAGTGCCAGCAGCATAAAGATGAAATCGGGAAAAATTAAGAACTAATAGATGATATAAACATGGAAAAGAGTAAAGGTCCAAGAATATAGCCTTGGTGTACTGAAATTGAGAAAGAAGAAAAAATAGAATTTGAAGCTTTAACTCAGATATGAAATGAAATTAGCAGCAGTCAAGTTGAAGTCAAAAAGATGTGCCAGTTTCCAAATAAGCAAATTATGATTTACAGAGGAAAAATCGAGTAGAACAATAATAGTAAACTTATTATCATCAATGCCTAGATGAATATCATCTGAGATTAAGGATCCACATAAGAGCTGTCTCACAACTATGAAATTTTCGGAAAATAGATTGAAAAAGCAATATAAGGCCATGGGAGTCAATAAATAAGGATATTTCTTTAAATAAAATCTTCTCAAATCTTTTAGATAATGATGGAACAATAATAATAGGGTGGTAGTCATTAACAAGGGTGTTTAGGTTTTTTGGGTAAATCAATATTAGTTTCCTTCCAGGCTGAAGGAAGACAACATTTACACCCTAACTGTAACATCTTATATTTATATCTATGAAGTTATAGTTGAAGTTTTATCATTTTAAAATTAGTATTGTAAACAATTAAACAGTATTTTATCTTTTATCTTTCAGCTAATATATTTTTTTTAAATTTAATAAGTACAAAAATTAATCCTCAATTCTTTCCTAATGCATTTTTGTTAAATAATAATGCGGAAGATTTACAGTGCTAGAAGGAATTTATATTAAACAGTTTACAGCTGAAAGATGAGCAAATATAGTCAGGGGAAAATAGTTTTTTTAAATAAATTAAGTAGGCCAGTTTAAAGTGATGGGTAAGCGTTCTGTTTTTAAAATTCCTGAGGTGACATCACTGCCAAATTTACCAAAATAATGGTGTAACATAAATTACTTATAGAATAAAGGAAGTAACATTTTAAATTATTGTGTATATTTAATATTACGTCAAAGAATTTTTTTTTTACAATTACTCAATGAAAACTATAAATAATACTTTTGCCAATTTATCAGTGAGTCATCAGTTTCCTGATAATTGGGTTCTGCTTCCGGGTGTACAGGGCTTCGCCCTTCGAACACTCCGCCCGCCCACTAAGTCTAAGCCCCCCCAGGTGGAACTCAGTACTTACCGACTGTTACTTAACTGCTGACTTTGCGGTAGTCTGTCGGATATTTCGTGTAGGGCGACCGAGAAGCCGAAGTAGCTGCCGGCCCTGCCTTCTTTAATTACAGGCAGCCTCGTCTCAAAATTGAAACAATGTGACTCTCGGGCCAAAAGTGTCACCAGGGCCAAAACAAGTTCAAGTGCAGTCATTGTCAACACGGTATTAAAAAAAAAAAAAATTATTTAAAAGAGAAAAAAATTCAATTTTTAGCCCTTCTCGAAGTCATTAGTAATTAGGAAGGGCAGCTGAAGTAAATTTAAAAAATGAAAAACTTATTAAAAAAACAAACAACCACCCACTACAAAACAATGTTTCCCGACCGCCTCACGGTCCACAACTGAGTGAAGATTGAAGAGTCAAGATACCCGACAGTTCACGGCTAATAATCTTCTGGTGGGTTAGATCTCATTCTCGATTCAGAAACGATATTGTCGCTTAAAAAAAGCAGGCTAATTCCTTTATTTAACTTTTTTAATACAGCTTCGACAAGTGAAATATTATCTTTTATTATATTTTAAACAAGATATAAAACGTTTGTTTATCTGTATTTACAAATATATGGGTAGAAGCGAATATCGATAAGATTTTGTTCGATTCTTAGATCGAAACATCTTCTGGTTGTCACTGATTGGTGACAACTGACAGTACTAATTACTAAATACTGATGTTAAAATCGCCAAACTGTATTATTACCTCAATTGATTATACTTTTTATCTACAGTGGTCGAGGTGCAAAAGTCAGTGTCACAGTGGGAATCGAACCAACGACCTTCGGATATTAAGCCGAAATTATAATTTTATGAAGTTTTTTCTCCATTGATCATACAAAAGGAAGATTATTGCAAGGAAATATAACTAAAACTATAAATATTTGCAAAAAGATTTCAAAATCTTTTTAAAAAAATGTTTTGCGTGTTAAAAATTTTAAAAGATTTTTGTTTTAAACATTTAACATTATTTACAGCAATAAAAATAAAAAGTTAAATAAAAATAATCTAAAATGTTATTTCATGAAATTTTGACTCTATTGTTCATAAAAAAGCAATAATTATTGTGATGAATTACAACTTCATAGAATAGAAAATATGTGCAAACACATTTCAAAATAGATTGCATTTTTTGCCTGTTATAAATTTTAAAGATTTTTGTTTTAAACATTTAACATTATTTACAGCTATTAAATAAAAATAATCTAAAATGATTTTCGGAGATCGTGGGATGCGATCACTAATCACCACACATAATCTAAAATGTTATTTTATGAAATTTTGACTCTATTGTTCATAAAAAAGCAATAATTATTGTGATGAATTACAACTTCATAGAATAGAAAATATGTGCAAACACATTTCAAAATAGATTGCATTTTTTGCCTGTTATAAATTTTAAAGATTTTTGTTTTAAACATTTAACATTATTTACAGCTATTAAATAAAAATAATCTAAAATGTTATTTTATGAAATTACCCACTTTTAAGAGTGGCTTAAAAATAATGAAGAAATTAATTTTTTTGTACTTTTTATTTAAACACTACAAACTGAAATCATTTGTGGTTAAAACTCAAATTCTCATTTATTTGATACACTAATTAACTAAACAAAACCAGAAAATTGAAAGAAAATCAACTGAGAACCTCACTATGGCCCACAATGACAATATGCAATACTTTCATTAATTAAACAAATCGGTAGGTAATCATATTTGTAAATTTCCTTTTGTGATATTCGTTTGTATACTTGTATAGTTTGGGATATTTCTTTTTAGAAGTTTCAAATTTGCTTAATGGTTTTCAAAGTTAGGACAAACATGTGGTCATGTTTAATAGGTTGCTTGTTTCATAAGCACCATATCTATTTATATCAAAACAGCAGCAACATGCTAGTAGACGATAGTCCCTTTTTTCACATCACATGTAATAATTATCAACATCAGAGAAAAAAGTGACAATCATCTCTACTTAGTTTATAATTAATTTAACAGTATTAAATTAACCAAATTTTGCTTCTAATGGTAGATATTTTTTATGTAGGCTATTTACTAAATTATTTACAAAGTCATTATCCATTGTTTTCAAACAATATCTAAATGCAATTCCACATTTGGTATATGATTGCATAATAGAAAACATTTGTTCTGTCCATTGTTTTGTTTTCATTTCTCCTTTGGACGATTACATCCTATACTGATGAAAGAACAAAATATTCTATCACCTAATTTTGTATTTACTTATAATTAAATACATAATATTGCTTTTAAAACCAGCTTAACACTAAAACAACTTATATATTATTAATTAATAGGAGACCAAGGTGATCGTGTAATTAGGGTGTCTAACTCATACTTGCCACTCAAGCGGTTCTGGGTTCAAATCCTGGCAGAGTCCATGGTTTTTTTAATTGATAATGATATGAAAAATGTATTGTAATGTCTGTGGCTATGTATATAATAGTATGTATGACAGTAATAAATATACATTTTTACAAAGAAATTTACCATAGAGCTCATTACCAAAAGCTTTAAATTATTAATTATATATAACAGATTAAATATTAAACAAAAATAACTAAAATACATGGATGATTATCAACAAATTCTGTATATTTCATCAAAGATGTATAATTTATTATAGTTATGGATATCGTATGAGTTTTCTTCTTGATGTTTCAGATCATTTGGTCAGTTTAATATTGCACTATTTCTGAAATATATTTTCAATTTACAAAATCATAATTAGGCATATATGAGTAATCTGGATCTTGGTATGGTCTGGATTAAAAAAAAAAAAAAAATTTAAAAAAAATAATATCTACCAAACTTTTGAATTATTTTAAAGTTATCAACAGGGCAAAATAGTTTAAAAAAATACAAACTGACATAATTATTGGTGTCTTTATTAGACATAAAGTAATTTCTATCCATCTATTAAAAACTTATGTCAATTTGTAGACCGTAGACAATTCTTGATTGTTTTGCCCTGAAGACCTTAAAATAAGTTGAAAGCTTGGTGGATACTAATTGAATTAATTTTTGCTCCAGATCCTAGTTAGATCCAGATTATTCGTGAGTAAAAAATTGGTCAATACATCTAACACTTTAAACTTAAATAGGTATATAAACAAAACTGTAAGATTTATTCTTGAGGTCTATGGGGCGTTCAAGTCTGTTAGACATATTTTGTCATATTCATAGCTGGGTTTGTATTGTTCTAACTTGCAAATCATATTGATACCCACCAGCTAATTCTGGAAAAATACTATATGTTGATTTAATTTATTTATAGTCAGACAAATCTTCATGAATACTCTGGATCAAAGTGTGGTCTTGAAGAAAAAGGCAAATTTCAGATGTTATTGCCAAGCTTTCAACCTATTTTTATTATTCAATACTGTTACAGTCCTCGACAACGCAAGGACTGAGTCAGTCTTCAAGAAAATTTGAGACCGCCTGTAAAAACCTTGAATATGTCAATCTATAGAAATATTTAAGATTGTTTTGTTCTTTATAGTTATATTGATTGTTAAATGAATTGTAAAAATATGTTTTTCATAATGCAAAATTAATATAGGCCCTGATGATGAGCTTAAAATAGGACAAAGCTTGGCTATAACAACTGAATTTGCATTTTTCTTCAAGACCATACCTTGATCAAGAGTGTTTGTGAATGAAAAAGTGGTCGATACATCTAACAATAAAAAATAATTAAATCCATTATGTTTAGTGGCCTAATTGACCAAATTACTTCTTTCAATTAATAATTATTTTTATGTAAGGTCTTGGTCGAGATGAATGACACTAGCTTTTTCATCTCGACCAAGACCTTACATAAAAAGAATAATTAATTGAATTAATAACTAATGTTAATGTTACTGCCAAGCTTTCGGTTTTTAATTATTAAATTTTATCTTACAATTAATTAAGGTTTTTAGTTGAGATGAAAAAAATTTAATGGCACGAGTGGGATTTGAAACAACGATCTTCGGCTAGATACGCCGCTGCTCTACCACTTGAGCTATCGTGACCTCGATCCATTCAGACATCAACTTTCCCACCTCAACCACACCTTTCGAATTTTCCCTTCTTTTTGCCATTTGGCCAAACTTTTTTATCTCAATTGAAAAATGGCAAAGAGGAGGGAAAACTCAAAAGGTGGGGTTGAGATAGGAAGTTGATGTCAGAGTGGATCGAGGTCACGATAGCTCAAGTGGTAGAGCAGCGGCGTATCTAGCCGAAGATCGTTGTTTCAAATCCCACTCGTGCCATTAAATTTTTTTCATCTCAACTAAAAACCTTAATTAATTGTAATGTATTAATTGGTCAAGCGGACCACGAAATTAGTGAATTTTTTATCTCAACTGAAAACCTTAATTAATTGGTCAAGTGGACCACGAAATTAGTGAATTGATTAAATTTTATATTTACATTTGTAAGATATTTTGTGTAATTGCTTTAGCTGTAGTGATAACTCTAGAATAATAAAAAAATATGAATTATTTATTTTTTACAATACATGCATCTTTTTAATTCAGCACCATTAGTAGCTTGGTAAAAGCCAGATGTACTATGAAGGTTTGGAATTATGATTAATTGTTGGCTGATTTGTGTAACTTTTATCTATCAGGCTAACAGATAAAACGATATTTTTCATTAGGGATTCTACCAGGCTTGTTTTAATTTGAGCTTAATTCCAGCATGGCATACGGTTTATCGAGCTTTTAAACTCACTGTTATAAAAAAACAAAAAACGGTCGGATTGGTCATTGGGAGTAATGGGAGTCGTTATACGTTTTAACCCTCGCCACGTGGCCAGAGCAAGTCCTTGACCCTTTCATCTCTCTCTCGAGGTATGTTAATTACGTCAAGTCCCTCTTTAAAAAATGACTTATCGCCCTTAACTACTTTGCCCGTTTAAAGGATGGAAGGTGGGTGCAGGCAGGAAACGGCCCTACAGCTGCTTTCCAGACAACAGACGAGACCGTCGATAAAAGGCCTGAACACTCGGATCTTCGAGGACGGGCCCAAAAGCAGGGAAGTCGTGGAAATCAACGGCGAAGCCGGGTCTGGAAAGTCCCTTTTGCTTTTGGAATTCGTCAAACAGTGCATACTGCCCAGTGGGCAAGATTGTCGAGGCTTACAAGCTGATGTACTTTATCTAAACACTGACCTGCAATTCAATTTGAACAATTTAATCCGCCTGCTGAAATGCAGCACGAATTGTGAAAAAACAATAGAACAATCGTTAAAAAGGATTCACGTCATAAACATTTTTGACAGCGCGACACTCACAACTACAATCTTGTATTTGAAAAAGTTGCTCTGCATCAATTCCGACATAAGCCTTATTCTGATAGATTCAATCTCTGCATTTTACTGGCAGGACACTTTAGAAGGTGGGATTAAAAAAATGGACTCTTACATCTCGAGTATCGTCTTGCAGCTACATCAGTCCATTGGCTTATTTGATGTCAACGTGATGTACACGAGACCTGAGTATTTTAAGACAAAAAATAATAAAGTTGAATGTTCCTCAATTTATGACTTGAGCGGCATCAATACAATTATCGAGCTTAAAACTGTGAATGGTTTAAATTATATGCAAGTGAGGACTAACTCTAATAATATCATGTGTAATTATACAATTACAGACAAGGGATTTGAATTTGTAACGTGAATTACTGAAAGAACTTATTTCCTTTGGATCAAAATCAGGGAAGAGACACAGCTAAAGGGAATTTGGTGGTCAATGTTCTGCGAGTCGGTGAACACATTAAACTGTACCATATTCAGTGAGGAATACTAAGAACAGGCATAAAGCTCACAAAAGTTCAGTTTAATAAAATGAATTTGTTCAAAAATTTTGCCAAAGATTCTTTTGTTGCCCACAAAGTGAAAAATCACGGCAAAGCCAAAAAATAAATAAATAAATCAGCATCATGTTTATACTAGATCAAATTTTTAATAATCTTGTTGTCAAATGCCATATGGCGATTACAGTTCACAATAAAAATTTTAAAAAAAAGTTATCAATCAATGTACATTATTGTAAGGGAAAAAGTATACGTTAGCCAACAATCCCACTAATTCTTCAAATGTAATATCTTAATTTTTATTTATATGATATTCTACATTTCTTTTTTAGACTTGCTTTCGTCAGACTGCATTTGATGATTTTTAGACCTAGGTGTATCGTTTCTATGTAAAATAGCTAATTAAAAGAATTTATTTGCAAGGGATTCTACCAGACTTGTCTTCTTCAGCTTGAATACAATTATATGCAACCTTTCGGCATAACATTTTTTGTAAGGGATTTTACCAGGCTCCATTCAATTACTTTTGACTACGATTGGCTCAGTGGGTTTCGTAAGATGACCAGAATGGAAACGGCCAGGAGCCACCACCCTAGGACAAAGATGAGCCGGAACCAATAGACGGAGAGCGCACAGGGCGTCTTCCTTTTTATATAATAAATATGTACAGATTGGAACTTTTATAATAATCGAATTGGAAAATAAACAATAACTAGAATTGTAATTAAGTAAACTATTAGTTTCTGGCCTTAATTCCAATTCTTGGTTCTTAATATATTAAAATTTTGTTTTAATACTTATAAATTTGTTTTAATAATAATAATAATAATAGAAAATTCACAAATATCTCTATGAAATCAGAACACTCAACAAACAAGTGGTATTTGTTTGGGTTCTAGTCATGTCGGCTTTTCTGGAAATGAAAAAGCTGATCAACAGGCAAGGAACGCTGCAAACCATCCACAAAGAACAGATCACTTTCCTCTCCATCAAGATGATATAGTCGTTTATGTTAAAAACATTATCAAACGAAAGTGGGCAGCAAGATGGAATGTCTGTAGAGATAGTATGAAAGAAATTAACCCAGTTGTACATAAATGGCCAACTGAGGAACTTGAGAGAAAAGAACTTGTGATTCTTTCTAGATGATTCTAGACTCATGCTGAGACTGTTGCTAGTCTGACTCCATTATTATTATTAGCCATACAAGCATATGGGAAATGTTTAAAATATGGAACAAAAATTCACAATTCTAATAAAAAAAGAAACAGAAATACATTTTATATGTAATTTAAAATGGGATTTTTACATACATTTGGCCTTCCAAATTAAGAATTTTAAAAAGAAAAAATTAGTTTACGAGTGAATGTTTGGAGTCAGAGCTTTATAGCACTCAGAAGAGATATAGCTAACCTAAGATAGAAGGTTTGGATGTTAGGGCGTGAAATGACCTTAGCCGTTAAAACGCCCTTAAAAATTAATAATAATAGAAAAAAAATGCACTAGCTCACATCGATTTTTTATATATGTTGGGAGAATATTTTTTTTTTTTTTAAACAAGAAAAAGCCCGGTATTTTTCTAATGGTAGCAGTGACTCCGAGGAGGGATCCAATGACAGAATGGCCATATCGTGAGAAGACTGTTTTGTTACTTTTCATGAAGAATAACTTGTTTTAAAAGATTTGTTAATCAGAAAAACAGATTTAATTCAGAAATCTCGGTAAACCTACACAGGGTTCAATTGTTTGGTTAGTTAAAAACTCGTTATTTTAAAGCTAATTAGTTGGGTAAGTAATTAAAAATTAATTGTGTAAATTTTATTGTATTAACTGTATTGAACAATTAGAATGAGGATATGTTGAAGCAACACATTTAATATCTTTTTCAGGAAAAAAGCTCAAGAAATGCAAAATGTTGAAGCCAGAGGGAAGCTGCCACAGGGAATAAAGAACACAAGTAGAGTAGAGCAGAGTGGGAAGGATTGCAAATAACCTACAATGCAAATGCAACGAAAAGGTGGTCACTGGTCAGTTGTCATGAGCCAGTTACAGTTTGGTAAATGGTTAGACGTTGGATTTTATATGAGACAGTTGGTTGCAAAAATGAAGATAAGTAGACTAGTCCTTTGTTAGATTTTTATGGAGTGAGCGAGCTATGGTCTGGCTTTGGCTTAGATACCTCTGTTTTGGATTTTAAGCAGTTAATAAATAATGTTTTGAAACGTGAAGACCTAGATTACTTTTTGTATCGTAACAGATTACGAAGAAAAGCCAATCTTAATGAATGATTGAGTCTCTGAGATATCCGTCTCTCTCTCTCACACACACACACACACACATACACACACCCTCAATGTACGATATATTTAAACCAAAATCAATTAAAATCTTGGTTCTGTTTGATTTTTAAATTTAATTTTAATTACTGAAAAAAGATCTCAATTATTTTATTTTGGCACAAAAAGTGGAAATTAATTTAAACAACTCTGGCCATGTTATAAAAATATAACTTATAAATAAAAAGGTAAAGGATTAAATAACGAAAAAAGTGTTAACCAAGCAGCTGTACTTTATATAAAAAGTAAAAATTTTAGTAAAGCCTAACTACAAAGCATTCAGTATAAGTGAACAGCATTTCAAGTGATCAATTTTGGAAATCTTTTTGACTAGATTTGGCTTTCCAATGTATTTTATTATATGGTTTAACAATTAATGTACTTTTTTCTTTTTTTAATGCTTGTTTAAAAAAATAATAAACAATTATTTCAAATTTTGTATAGACCCAAAGAAACAGAAATATACACATCGTAAAGTCTATTTACATAAAAAAAGAACACTTAATTTTACAAAACAAATATTTAATTTCATAAATAAGTTAATCAAACATTTATAATAATGTCAGTGATGTTCAGCACAACTTCAAAACTGTTACAGAACGGAGTTATGCAGAATTCACATTAATATGTATACATTTTTTTTCAATATACAAAATAATTTATGGCATCTCTTTATAATTTTTTGAAATAAAAAATAACCAATAAATATCACAATAAATATTATTTATAAAAGAGGGAAATGTCAATACATATTCAAATTTGACTTCTACTCATAATAAATGCAGATAATTAAAAACATGACACATCTTTGGCTTTAAATATAAATACATAACTATATTTTGTAATTTTTTTTCAAAACTATTAATGTTAGAGTACAGACTGAAACCTTTAAACAAAATTGGCCATAATTCAACAATAAATTATCTCCAATAAACAATGTGGCACATTATTGTTCAACAATATTTCATTTTAATTGACGCAATGTGTTAACACTAATATTTAAAACAAAATGTTTACCCTCTTTGAGTAGGCACTAGCAAAGGCACCAAATTAAGTACAGTTAATAATATTCAATAGTTTTATCAAAGAGACCAATCAATATAAGCATAAAAATTAAACATTTGATGTCTTTATATAATATTTATTGCGCTTTCAAGGCAAAATTTGGAGGAAGCACATAAACAATCCCATTGTTAGCAGTATCTTTTTTGAAGCTGGCAAGGCTTGCGTCCTGCATTACTTCAACCCGTAGTGGCCTGCTTTTGTTCCCGAGCATGCAGTGGAATTTGACAGCCACATTGACTCTCAAATCAGTACCTCTTAACCTGAAATGTTTATTGTTTGTAGTTTTAAGAGATTTTTAATTTTTAGCAGCGATAAACTTACTGGTTGTATCGAGAGCACAAAGCACCGACTAGTTCACCAACACGGTCCTCTTCTGACTTAATTGTGACTACTAAGTCATTTCCTTTGTTGGTGTGGATCACGACTAATTGATCTCGTCCTGGGCTTAAGCTCAGCCCTGTAATCTGCAGAAATATAAAAATTACAAACTGTATATATATTTTTAAAATATTAAGTTGAACATGAACCTCTTGAATTGGAATTCCACTTCTCATCGGTTTGAATTTATTGACATCCAATTTATAAATCGAATGCTCGGTTACAAGAAGCGCCCGTTCTGCACACTTGTTGAACCTATTTGTCTTCATAATGTATGATGAAAACAAAATCTAAAATTAATAATAATGGGTTATTTTATATTTTGTAACATTTTTGTTCATGTTAATGATTTTCCCTAAATATAATATATAGTTAAAATTACTCATAGCAGAACATTTGTATAAATATAATACAATTCATGCAGAACCGGCATTGGGTCACTTGTGCCATTTTGGGTCTGTATTCACTAGCGGGTTTAGCTAGACTTACTAAATGGCCCAATGCTAGTTCAACACGAGTTCATCGACTCGCAGACCAACACCCAGCACCAACTATAATCAATTTCTACTATTCAACTCTGTATTGCAGTTATATTGAATTTAATTCTGGGAAATAGTGCAACTTGATGGTTCGAATAAATTAGAAATTTCCATAAAATCTTCTTCGTTATGTTATAGCATCACATCACAATAATGATCTTTGTTATGAAACTTACAAAATGGAAATGATCACTGTTTTTGAGGTTGCGAATGCTATTGTTGTATATATCAACAGATGGATTTTCAGATGCATAGGCAAGGTAATTGCTTTCCCACTTCCTTTCCTGGCCCCAACTTGCACGTTTCCCTTTGAGAACACATGCTGCAGAGATCTAAAAATGAAAGGGAAGCTTTGAAAAATTGAACTTTAGTTTGTCGACTATTACTGACCTTCATTCTGAGTTGCTGCCAATCGGATTTTGGATATGGCTGTAGGATCATTGATGCTCTCCATCTGTCAAAGAGCCGTCTCAAAATAGGCTCAATATGCCTTACCTGTGATGGGGGCGTTGGCCATCTCAAGGATTTACCCCAATCCCGCATATTCCTGGCATTTCTAAAATAGACAATTATTGAGTTTATTTCAAAGAATCAACTGTATTTAATAAAAATTGGCTTCTTAAAAATGAAATTACTTAAATGTATAGTTAAGCTGATTGACGTAATGCCTAATTTTAAACTTTCGATAGCATTCCATGATCTTAAGGGCTGCTTTCATTTTTCTATAACGAATTCTACATATAGCACCTCTCCATTGCTTCTGGAGTAAAATTACGATTTCAGGGATTAAATCTGCTCTCATCTACAATGTTTTTTACCATTAATTAATTGAGCTTAATCTTAACCACCTTCTTCAATAGATCATCATTTTACTTTCTCTAATTTGAAGAGAGTTGCTGGGGATTTAATGAAAATCTTTGTCTTTCCGTATTTGACATCTTTCGAAAAGCCTTTTTCATCGATCAGAACTCTCGTTCCTTCACGAGGGCTTCCAGCATGGAAATTGGGCCAAGTAAATTGTGATATCATTTTGTATCTAGAAATTAAATTTTTTTTAATAATTGTAATATTGATTATTGAAATTGAAAATTACCTTTTGAGGAATAAATCATATCGATGTCTATGTGCAAATCCTGCTCGTCGTACTCTTACATTTTCAAGTAATCCGAGGTAGCTTACCTGATGTTCTACTCTTTGATCATCAATCCCATTAGGTGATTTATGTTCATTTGGTTTAATACACCGTACATAAAATGGTTCTTTGCTTCCCAAGGTTTTAACAAGAGCAATCATAGAATTTTTAAAAAGTGTACCGGAAGTAAGTGGGCGCTTCGTTGTCTACAAAAATATTAGTTGTATAAACTGATATATTTAAAAAAAAATTTGAATGATAAAATCAGTAAGTACTTTTGTAATATCCATGGCGCCTTCAGGCCACATAGACGCAATAATGGAATTTGAAGAACTGTATAAAAGCCGTTTCATGTCTTGAAACAATGTGTCTTTGTTTTTGTCAAGAAATCCTTCTATGTTATAAACAACATCACCCGCATAATGTCTGAAATTGCCCATATTCAATTGCCAGATCTGTACAACAATGTGAATGTACGAAAAAGAAAACTTACACAATTCTAAATTGGGTCTTGTGTTTTAACAATTTGTCCATTGGGTTTATCTGCCGGCTCATGTAGTGCTTGTGCTTGTCCAATTTTTTGTCCATAGCTTCTAGTAGTGTCTACAAATAAATTAGATTTTGAATATTAAATATATTATTATAATTTTTTTTTTATGACTCACCTCATCGTTAATTTTTCCAACACTTAGACAAGCTTCATCCAATATGGAGAATATACCCTGATGAGGCCTTTCTACAAGTTCACAGATGATCTGATTGTTAAAATAGTCGACATTCTGCCATTCAATTCCTTCTCTCAGATATTCTTCTTGCTCTTGCTTAAGAACAAGTTCTGAAAATGAAAATTGCAATAAAAACGTTCATATTACAACTCCATACTTGATTATACCTATAAACAACTGTTGAAGTTTTTCATTGCAATAGTTGATGCACAGTTGCTCAAAGTTGTTCGAATCAAATACTTCAAATCCGTAAATGTCCAGAACACCGATTAAGGTTGCTCGATGGTATGTACCTTGTACTTCGATGGCAGAGTTCACCTTTTTCACAATCCATGTGAACAATTTGTCGTAAATGGCTTTGGCTAGTGCATCTCGCCCAAACTCAGCCTGCGTAATTGTGTGTGTCTTTTGCATGACCTCACCTCTGGCAGCAATGACTCTTTCTGTCAGTGCTGTGCAAAGTTCGGTCTCTGTCACTTGCAGCAGCCGACTGACTACTCCTGCACCAGTGCCACACACCTTTACACCTTCAGAGTTTGTGTCGACTTCAAATTTTATATTACCCTAAAAGGTAAACATTAGATATTAGAAAAAAAAAGAACTAATGAACTAATGAAAGCTTTATTATACTGACAAGGTGTAAAACGGCTGCAACTACTCGCCACAATGTGTCAATTTCTGATGCTGTGAATCCAAGAGTTTTACAAGATGCAATGGTAGTACGATGATTCATCCTGTCATTGTCAGTTGGAGGGCTTGAAGATCCTTGACTTGTGTAAAAGTAAGATTTTGGATCTCCGCTTAGCTCCAACATCTTCATATCTGGATTTTTGCATGCTGAAAGTACCTAATTACAAAATATATATTAATGCTTGAAATCACTTTACTTTGTATTATTCAGAATATAAACTGGATCTTACTGTGATAGTATAAAGTACAAATTTACAATTTTTAAGGTACTTCAATAAATCTTTCAAGAATGTCGGATGAAGCAATTACCTGGTAGAAACTGTGAAAATTTCTTTCCCCGGATTGTTGTTTGATGACCCTAGATTTTTCCAGCAAGTAATTACTTATATGGCCTCCAATGGGGTCACCTTTAAAGTCAAAATGTATGTCCATGTATTTCCCAAATCGGGAAGAATTGTCATTCCTATTGGTTTTTGCATTTCCAAAAGCTTCTAATATTGCATTGGACTGAAGCAGGACATTTTTGACCCTTTCAATTTCCTGCCTCTGCCCCACGTTTGTCACGGCTGCTATGTATTTCATGATTATTTTAGATGCTTCTGTCTTCCCGCTGCCTGACTCTCCACTAATGACGACGCATGTGTCTCTGCCCTGTTGCTTCATTGCTTTATGTGTGCTATCAGCAATGGCAAATATATGTGGTGGGTTTTCAAACATTTCTCTTCCTGGAAATACAAAAATTTATTTTGAAATATTTTTGGCTAGTTAAAGACAAACATTTTTATTTAAAAAAATAAACATAACTAAGTTATTATTATTTTTGCTTTCAGTATAGTAATGAAGAACAATTAGTGATATTCAATCACTGTATATACAAAGTATAAACTACCCTAAATGGTCAATCAACATAATTTACTCACACAAACATGGTACACAATATATGTTAAGCAATATGTAAAGCTATGAGAAAACATATTTACTACACACTAAATAAAATATGTAATTATAAAAAATAATATTAAGTGTTGAGGACTTCATTAATAATTTTTCAATGAGGGAAGAATAGTTACTTCAGGTTTAGGCTGTCTTGAAGGAAATTTCCGATCATTGTCAGATATTTATCCAGATATTCCAGTGATTGATTATTCACAGTTCTTATTGCAATAATTCACTTTTACACTTCCTATTGGAAAATTTCCATTTAATTTCCGTTGCCTCATCTAGTCTCGCTGTTAGTTTCAAACCAAACATGCCAACCATCAAATAAGCTATACAATGAAATTTTATGCCATTAAAATATATGTCAAAATATTTTTGAAATTAAAACGATGGGAGAAACAACCATTCCGCAACTATCCATTCAAAGGACAAATATCTGAAATCCAGTATGTTAAACTCCCTCAACCTAAATCCACCTTAATGAAAAACTGTTTTTTACATGCCAGTCCCAAATGGTTTGACAATGTACCCCCTGCAACCAAGCTGTTTTTTAATAAAAAGCAACTCTAATAAAATAATTAAGCCTTGACTTTTTAAGGAGATTTCAGGTGGTAATGAATATACAAAGTTGATGAAGTTGGTTTATGTGCAAACATAACTTAATCTATAATTGTATTTAATCTTTCAATTTATGTAGTAATGTATGTTTTCGTTTTCATTATCTATTAACTCCACTAAGTACACTACGTATGAATATATAAATCTTCTCTTCATCCTCAATTAGACGTAGAAATTTTTTTCATTTGATGGTAGGTAGGTAGCCCTTTCTACAGATCATTTTCTCCAAATTTGTGTTACATTATTTTATGTTACAATTAATTAAGGTTTTTAGTTGAGATAAAAAAGTCAATGGCACGAGCGGGATTCGAACCCATGATCTTCGGCTTGATACGCCGCTGCTCTACCACTTGAGTTATTGTGACCTCGATCCACTCAGACACCAACTTCCCATCTCAACTGCACCTTTTGAATTTTCCCTCCTTTTTACCATTTTTTATCACAACTAAAAACCTTAATTAATTGTAATATGTTAATTGGTCAAGCAGACCACGAAATTAGTGAATTTAATTATTTTATGTATTGTATTAAAATTATGTTCAATAAAGTTGATAAGAAAAAAATAGATGCAAAAATGTTTGAAACATCGAGATTAAAAGATTTAAATAAACCAACAGTTCAGAAAGTTTTTAATAAATAGTGACAAATGTCTGAAGGCCGAATTTGGAAGGATAATCACAATAATGTTGAAGGAAGGCAAAATGTATTGAACAATTACGAAAATTATTGTGACATTTCTATTTTAATGGCGAGTCATTAAATTGAGCATTCCTGTTTTCTTTATTATCCATAAGAATGTTTATATGCTCTCAGATGACTATTAAGTAGAATTAAAATTTTTAAGAATATGCACGATGTTCACGTTCATTCAGTTCCAATTTAAATAGAAAACGTTATCCCTGCCTGTCTCAGACAAATCCCTATCGATATGAATAATTAAGAGCGTGATTCACGGTCAAGTACACAATGAAAGCTGTAAGCTGTATACATAAATATTTACGAATTAATCCCACCCGATAGTCTGATGTAACAAGTAGATAAAGAAAGCAAATCTTCCTGCTCGTAATCTTTAATTACTTAGTTTTTTGGTGTTTAGCCGTACGACGTTATTTTATGCTCTTTGGTATGCACTGTTGGACTAAACGTTACTTTTTATGGGACGATTTGCCGACAATAGTTTCACGACCGGCAAAACTACCGTTACCCGGCTTTTGTTTCAGAGGTGAAGTCCTGACAGTATCCTACTAATTTACATCTCCTCCTGTTCAATGGGTCATATATGACAGATAAAATTTGTTTTTATAAATGGAACAGTGTTAAAAGTGATTTAGAATCTAAAGCAAGCAAAGAAATAAATTATTAACACATTTGAAACATAAATAAAATATTTATGGGCATATATGACCGATCCTATTTTATTCACCAGCTCGTTTAACGTCATACTTTTACGCCCTGCTTATTTTATTCCCTCAAGAACATTGTATGCACATTTTATTACAGAAGAAGAAAAAAATAAGGTAAAATCAGAATAGATATTACAAGGACTGTACATTTTATGACTATTAAAAAAAAAGTTCATGTTTAACCTTTGACATTGAATGAAATTGTCGCAATGATTCATAAAAAGTTTCCAAATTAAAAGTTTCTAGTTTCTACTAGTATAAATACATGGAATAAAGATAGCGTTTTATTTATCATTACATTCACTAATTTCGTGGTCCGCTTGACCAATTAATACATTACAATTAATTAAGGTTTTTATCTCAACTAAAAACCTTAATTAATTGTAATTTATCATTACGTTGTACATAAGCAAGACACCTTAAATAACTAATTATTAATAATTTTGTTTAGGTGATGTCAGATTGCTTTATTAAATTACAATTAACAAAAATTTTAAATTTATTGTTAGACTATTTTGTTGTTTAATTCAAATTATATGCATTTATATCGTCATATTAATTAAAACATTAATAAAGATCAGAAGTTCATGAGTTTTATTAACAATGATTTAATAACCGACGAAAAATTATTTAATTGTGATGGTTGGGACGAACATTCATCAAAACACAGGACAATCATTTAGTTATAGAATAAAATTTAACTAACAATTTTTGGTACTTGATTTTGCACTTAATAAGGAATATGAATTCCTATGGCCTCATTCTTCAACAAGAGTGGTTTGAAACTGTTCAATGCTTGATGGAGGTGGTGAACCTGTCTCTTTATCATGTCCCATAAGTGTTCTACAGGATTCATGTTAGAACTTGCTGGCCAATTCATTTTGGTAGTCCCTACATCACCCAAGTAATGTATACAACTGGAGCTATATACGGTCGAACGTATGTCGAAATTGTTCTGATTACAAGGAGCTAAGACCACAGCTTTCAGAAAAACTTCCTTAACACCTTAGTTAAAGAGCCGTACCATAATCAGTTCGGTACTGGCATGGACTTTGTTCTACCCTATACCATGACTAACTGTCTTTGAAAAGGCTGTGACTCACTCATGGCACACGAAGCAAAGCGTTTTACACGTTTATCCACTGATGGTCCCGGTCATGAGATTACCACAATCCAAACCGGCACTCTTATGTGAAGACAACATCCTCCATTGGTCAAGAGTCTTCAAGCAAGATGCTGATTTGCGAATAGTCGCCTTTCTCCTCGATACTTCTCCAGTTGTAGACAACCTAATACGGGACTCTAGAGACTAGGCTATCTCACGAAGCCTTCTGATGGTTGTTTTAGAGCTCACCCTTACATTACACACCAGTTGGAGTGAACTACCTATCATGGAAGCCGTTAAATGACGGTTCCATATAGCAGAAAGATCAATAAAACGTCTCTAGCCGTTGTACATCGCAGTCCACCACTACCTTCTCTTTGATCGAGTCTTCCAGTGGCCCTAAACTACTGTAGACCATAATGGATGGTAGAGCGTGGCACACCCTGGTCATAGGCTATGCAACGTCCGTCGTTGGCCAAAACACCCCAGGCTCTTGACTTAAAACCACCAACTTAAGAAAAAACATTTTTTTCCTCAAATTTATTATTTCTTCGAAGAAAACAATTTAAAAACTCATTAGACAACTTGGCTCTGGAAAGGATGAAATTGAACTGATTTTCTTTATTTTTAATCTAGCAGTAAGAATATAAAAGTAACACTATAAAGGCAAACAACAAGATTATTCAGAAATCGTGATGTAGGTTTCAGAAAAACATTTTCTTTATAGTGCCAACGTTTCGATCTCTATTGAGATCATCTTCAGGGCCTGGGATTTACAAATATTGTTTAAATTTAACAAATACACGTAGGATGTGGAAAAAATGAATTTATACAATGCCAAAAATTATATATTTTTTTAAATATTCAATCAAAGTAAGTAAGTTTGTTTTCTGCGTAATTGTGCCATTCTTGCGTGTCGCGTTGAGAATGCCAGTGAGATATTGCTGTTTTATGGCTTATATGTTTTTCTGAAACCTACATCACACCAGACCGCATCTCACGATTTCTGAATAATCATGGACTAACGGTCACTAATCACCACACAGTAAACAAATTATTGATGTTATGTTTACGTTTTAGGTCAACTATTAATCTTTATATCTACTTATTATGCAAAATAAACAAATAAATTCAAGTGTCAGGTTTTTTGCCTTTGAGTGTATAATTTACATTATATATTTCTCATTTATGAGAAACCTTCAGATTTAATTTCCACCTATAGCAATTCAATAGAGGATCCCTCGATTGGTCGTGGGAATCTGGAAAATTTCCTGAGAAAACTTTTCATGGCCACAATTCCACGAACCGTTCGACGACACCTCGAAGGGAAAATCGATGCAAGTTTAAGCTAAGCTCATCCATCTATTAGCCTTCTAATCAAATCGAATCACTTTCAAAGGGATTAATAATATCGAACGGCTTCGGGCAATTTATTTAAAAGCCTCTCAACTTCCAGAGTAATGGATTTAATCAATGTACAATAAATGATTAGATGTTGCTTTTGATTTATTTATTTAACCTAATCTGCAAGAATTGTTAGGATGTGTTGAAGTTAATACCATTTTCACCCATTTAACTATTTAATTTTAGAAAGAAGTAACTACTCCATTACAGTTATGTAACAGTAATTAATTAAAGAAAATACGTTCTTGATCTATTC